TTTTTTCTTAAGAAATTTTTTAAAATGTTATAAATTTGTTTTATAAATTCTATGTTGCATTGCATTATGAATTTTTTGAGGAAAGAAAAGTTTTCAAATTACATATCTAATATATCTATCAATTTAATAAATTACACTATAAATCTGAGCTTAAAAGTGGTTGTTCATTAAAAATTTTAGATGTTACCGTTATTATTATTGCATTATCATCGTCTTCGTTATTCGATTACTTTCATTCATTTTTGTTACTTACTATATTCATTAGATATTCTGTTGTTGAATATTATTTATCCCTATTATTAATACCATTTTTTATTATTATTATTACTATTGTTAATAACATTGTAACATTGATATTATCATTATTATTATCACCATCACTGAAACTCATGCTTTGCCCTATTCCAGTGACGTTGCCAAAGAAAACGACGAAAACCTTTTAGGTAGATGCAAATTACATCAAGAAAGTTAGCGCCTAAATTTGCCTCCAATTGTTATTTTATCAAAGGATTAGCAAGAAAAGCCATTTGCAGAACTGGCACGGGAGAAAATGTGCTTAAATTCCGTGTCGTTTTGGACCAATTTTTTTTCTTAAGACCGCTTAAATTATTTAGCCTTTTCTTTTTCAAAATAGTTGCAATATTAATTGCAGAATTTCCTTTAATGAGCGCCCAATCGGAGAAATGAGAATTATTGAAAGCATCATAATTAAAGGAAGAAAGCAGAGAAAAGAAATGATATCACACACTAACGATGTGACGATAGCGATATGAAGCAAAATAAGGAATTGGAAATCGAAAATTTTTAGAATAGTGGTTCAGAAAAATAAGGCGCTCATCACGTTGAGAACTGAAGGCTGAGTCCCAAAGCCGCTTCTCTGGCAGAACGACCTCATCCTGACAATTCCCAGTGGAGGCAGCCGAGCCACAAAAGTGAATGCTACTGAGAGAAGAAAAAGAGGAAAAAATAAACAAATTCGAATAAATACGACTATTATTCTGAAACACTCAGTGAATAAGAGAAACTATAAAATTTTGCAAAATAAAAAAGTCGAAAAGTGTAAAATTTGATTGAATTCAACAATTGTTCGTCTAATTACTGAGAAAATTTAAGGCGTTTTTTAACATCGAATTTATCAATTTCTTATAAGTTTTCTTATAAGTTTACGAAAAAATCAATAAAATTTTAAAAATAAAATCATTTTTAAAATTTTTTTTGAAAACATTTGGATGAAAAAATTTCGAACTACGCTTTTAAAATTGGGAAAAATCACTTTTATTGACATGAAATTAGAAAAATTAGAAGTGAGATTCGGCAGGATTTAGCGTAGTTTCAGATAGTAATGTGCGAGGACAGCAGAAGTTGCATTGATGAAGAATCGAGGAAATTATTCGCATGCAAAGGATTTATAAGATCGAAGTGTGAGATTTTGTCGCTCTTCTAGCAATTTGTAGCAACTTTCGATGATTTATTGCTAAATGGCTCTCTCGTCTTCCATATTAAAGAATGCAAGCAGAACAAAAACAAATGCTTTGCGAACTGCGAATTCTGTGGATATTCTAAATATTCTATAAGGTGCAAAAATTATTCATTAATGCCAACTTTTCCGTTCTTATTGCGCAAATAAAAAAGGCATGATTTGTATTTAAAAAGGAATCTACGTAACTCACCATTTGGTGTATCGAATAAAACTTTTAAATGCATATTTTTTATTTGAAAAATTGATATTTTTTCCATGGATTCATTTTTTAATTTATTCCTTCATCCTTTAATATTCATCATTTCTCGTTTCGTAAGTTCCACTAATAAGAAAATTGGAACCCTTAAAACCCTTTCGCCAGAGAATCGTTTGGGAATAAAAGTGGGTCCTCACCATTATCTACTTTGCAGTTCCTTTCAACAAATAATTCCCCTTGCTTTTTTATTCTAAATTAACCTAATATTAACCTAAAATTAACCTAATTAATCTAATAGTTAACCACAGATTTTTATCCTTTAAAAAAAAGAATATATGGATAGATTGTTAACTGGCTAAATTTCTTGTCTTGAATCGACCTTTCGGGAAATAAAACCATAAAACCATAAAAATTATTCCGAACAGCAATTCAACATTCAAAGAATTAGATATCCAAATGAAAAATGACAGATTCACCAATAAATGAATGCCATGCTATATGATACATTGTTCTGTTAAAGAATGCATTTTAGTAACAATACACTCAACCCAATACAATATAAATTCGATTTGCCGAGAGACTTCATCAGATTGGAAATCTCAAAATTTCGGTGATGATAAATGGCAAATCAGCGCCCCCATCTTCAAAAATTGCAAAAAGAACGTTCATATGAAATTTTAAAACAGAAACCAATTTAAAAATTTAACTTTCTTTAATTGGAACAGGAAAAATAATTTTTGATAAAATGAGAATAAAAAAAGAAATAATAAAAAATAATTTCGAAATAATTTCTATGAAAATAACTAACATAAAAAAAAACAAGTAAGTGGTTAGTACTTAACATTTTCGATTAAAATAATTTCGCAGTCTGTATGATTTGAAATTTGTGCCAGAAGGCTGGCTAAGTGGATCATCATTATCATCTGGAATATGATAGCTTTTCATATTCCAGATTCCAGAACTGCGAATAAAATTAAGTATCAAATAATTAAATAAACCTTTCAGATAATACTAGAAAATCAAATTCAAAAAAGTTTTATTAAATATTTGCTCGAAGCTGAAGAAAAATTTTTTACTCGATTAATGAAAATATATGAGAATATTTCTCGGAGAAGTCATTTCATTGAATGATAATAATTAAATTAAAATTAATAAATTAAATTAAGCATATTTAAAAAATTAAACAACTTTCAAATCTCTTTTCTAATGTAAACTGAGGAAGTGCCGATTTTAAATGCCTTGGATCCACTCCAATCCGAAATAGCCAGGCAAATCACAACCCGGATAATTGCAGCTAGAAATGCATTAGGAGCGCTGGTGCTGGGGTTTGATTCCCCGCGGGAGTAAACCTGTCCAAAAATCCGGGTGATGTTGGCGACTCACCTGTATTTCTATCGCCAAGGGATTTCCTAGCATATTGCCCAATGTGACAAGTCAGTGGAGCAAGTTTAGCCAGTAATGGTGAAGACTCTATAAAAAAAATGCTACATACTACTACATAGAACGTCGCATTCGCTGGTTAGAACACATTTTTCGTTGCTCACCACAAGAGTGGCATATATTTCGTTACTAGCTAAACCATGTGATGGGTGGCGCCAAAAGCGAGGTGGTGCAATCAAGACCTGGATTGATACAGTCAGGAAAATTTTGGACGTATAGGGGAGTCAGCGCTGGGATTAGACGGCGGAAAAAGGAATGGCTTCTAGCAGCGATTACTAGCAGCGATGGCATCGCGCAGCTTGGGAACGCCTTATCCTTGTAGTCAGTGGAAGCAGTAAAGGTGAGAGCTGATAGAAGAATATAAATTTTTAAAAAATCAAAGCAAAAATTCATGCTCGCAGTTCATTCAGCGACGTGATTGTGACGACGTGCACTATCGATCTTACTGCATTTTTCAAAATAAACAAAGAATCTTAGCACTCTTCAACACAAATCGTTACAATCACCTATAATTACCTCGACTTTCTATTATACCGAAAGTTCCTTTGTAGAATATGCACCACTTCTAATTTGGCTAGTTCCACTGGCTATTAGACTGAAATCTTTTTAATAAAGACTCACTCAGGACTAAACACAACAGTGAACATTCAGGCCCTAACGGGAGAGGGATCGAATTTATTATGTGCTGTGAGAGCAAGCGAAGTGCACAACCGTTAATATATCGATTTTTTCCAAACCATTTCTGCTTCGACTCGCTCCGCTAGTTTGTCAGACCAGAGTTAGTCGCTTGAGTCGCTTGACGATACAGGTGAGTCGCCAAGACTCTTTTAAAGCGAACCTCAACACTGACGTCCGATGACTCTCACGGAGTCATCGAGTCATTCTCAGTGTATAATTACAGTGAACACAAAACGATTTTTAATAAAAAATCTAGTCAAATAGAAGAAATACAAAATTTCTTATACATTAAATTACATATCGAATAAAATCGAAATCGCTTTCGGTCCTCCGCAATCGACATAAATTTTCGCCCAGAAAATCAAAAGCAGTTAATCCTAAAAATTAATGCTTATTTAAAGGCCAGAAATTCAGTTATTGTTTCGGGTGAGCAGTGAGCGCCGGGCCGAGGCAAATATTTTCAATGCTTTGCGTGAAAATATTTGCTTTCCTTCATCATAAATTCAAAAAAAAGAGAAGGAAAAATAAAGTCCTTTCCATCGCTAAACTCACTACTTATGGCAGTTTTTCGCAAGATTTGATTCAGTGCGAACATAGAGAAGTGCCGAGCCGAGCCTCTTGCACTTCGGACGCCGCACGGCAGCACATTAGCTGCAACCACAGTGCAGGAAATGTACTCCTTCAGAGTTCGCTTCCTTCAGAGGATCAGATTTGCCATCAATTTACGATGATGACGAACGAGTACGAGCTTTGCCGGAAAATTTGAAATTAGATTGCTGTGCCGATGTGCCGATTTTTTGGTGCTACCGAGTCATGTTGCCGAACCGGAGGAAATTGGATCAGAGATGTTTCGAATTTTTTATTATTTTTATAATTATTTTTATTTATAATTATTTTTATAATTATTTTTTCACTAAAATTTTTTTTGAATGAAAGACTATAAAACTTTAAATGCCAACTTTGTTCCACGAAATTTCAATTTCTTTTCTTATTTCAGTAGTTCCGTATTCCGTATTTTTAATGTCTCCTTAATCCTTATTAATCCTTAAAATGAGTTTTATACAATTAATTAGGGAAGATTTGTGCCTTATCGACACTAAGAGGCAGGTGCGGGGGGGGGGGCGCGGGGTTCGTCGAGTAGGGATGCATAAATAACGGAAATAAATTGGGAAATAAATGATTTGATTTTTAGAAATTAGTTGTTAGATGCAAGAGATTATTATTTATACAATATTATATTTATTATTTTCAATTTGTATAATATTTCCACCGATTGAATTTATTAGTGCTGGTTTCACAGTATCGTCGATTTTTTCATTTCTCCTTGGTGAGGAACGATTTGATTTTGTTGGCTATCAATTACGGCGAACAATTATTACTTCATTTATACATTCATGTCTTCCTTTTGGTTTGTCTGTCTTTTTTTTAATTTTTCTTTTTAATTTTTTGCAAATTTTGAAAAAAGAGCGGCGATGGCGAAATGTTCCATTTTTCTAATGGAAACCCTTCTCCCATGGATGAAAGCGAAAATATCAAAACTTTTTTTATTCCCATAACAGTTCTTCCATGCTCGTTGCACTGCTTTCTCAGTGTTGTACCCCATCGTTCTCTCGTAGTACATTCCATTTGTTTTCACCAAAGAGATTAAGCCTTAATGATTAAGAGGATAAGACCAATGAGTGGCGAAACGATATTGCGAAGTTTAAGGAGTCATTTATAAAATGTTTAGAGGATATTTAAGGAGGTTAGAAGGGACTTTTTGTGAAGTGCGACAAATTTGGAGATGTATAAAAGTGTATTATCATTGATAGAGTTTTTAGCTATGATATGTATTACATATGTTCTTTGCCATTCAACAAATTTATTTTGTTCTAATGGAAAGATCCCTGTCCAAGCCTTAGTATATTTTTTGGTCTTTTGAGCTCCCGCTAAGTCCCAACTGTTAACTCTTCCCAATCCCACTACATTCTTGCCATACAAAGTCTTGCAATTCCAAATCACTTACTAGTTTAAGTGAATAATAATTTACATAAAGTTACTACGGATAAGCTTAAGGATAAAGTGGAAACCCATCATAGCATCATAGTAAACGCATAAAAATAGTTTAACAGAAATAGATAGGATTTTAAAGGTTCTATAGGATCAGAGATATGTCGAGGCTTGTGGTAAAGTTAAGGAGAAATTGTAATGGAAGAGTGTCAAAGAAAAATTTTTTTTTTGAAGAATATTCACCATTACTGGTTAAACTCGCTCCTCTGGTTCATGGCATTAGACAAATATGACAGGGACTTTTGGCGACAAAACTACAGGTAAGTCACCATCATCATCCATTTTTTGGATTACTCTTGCGGCGAATAGAATTTCAGCTTCCGCGCTTTTTATTTAACCACTGAGCCACTGAACCATTCTACTCTCCCATAAATTAAAAAATTTTTTCTTTCGGAAATAATATTATTATCATCATCATCATCATCATCAATATCATCGCCAAATTTATTTTTAATTAAAATTGATTTTGCAAATTGATTTTTTTATTTACCGTAGTACCATAAATTTTTTGGAAATTGGTACTTGTAATCAATTGATTAATCAAAGAATTTTTTTCAGTTTATTTTTCATATCTGAGTTTTGTTCAAAATGAACCAGTCTTCGTCCTATATCCATCGAATTTAGTTCATCTACTTGCGACCAGTTCTATTTTCATTATATTAAGTAAAACTTAATGTTCTTTTGATTTTTTAATTCAATTTTTTTATCGTTATTCACATAAAATAATTTTTTAGTTTAATTTTAAAGTTTTATTTTAAGCCCTTATTTTACTGAAATAATAAAAAAATTTTTTTAGTACATTTGGTATATTTATTATTCAAATATTGTAAAAGTTGGGATTCTCATCCAACAGTTAAATTATTGAAGTACTTCGATTCGAATTGGGTAAATGTTGCAAATGATATAAATGAAGAATACAGAAATTTAAATAATTTTAGTATTTCCCTTTCGGGTAAGTTTTTTTCGAACATTAAATAATTGAATAAGATTAAGGCGCATTATCCAAACTTCTCGGTTTTTTTTGTGATATCTATCCTTTAGAATATTGTCACTTTTTTTTTTATTTTTAATATTTTCAACTTTTCCATCTATAAAATCATTAATATTTTTCTATCGTTTTTTATTACATTGATAATTATTTAGCATTTCATTCACTTAGTTTTTTCACCATTTAATTGAAGTTTTATTATTTATGGAAGTTTTTAAAAATTTAAGTACATTTAAAAATTTACGTTAATTATTTAATTTCATTCAATTCTTTATTTCTTATTATTGCTTTTTCTTTTGTTAACAGTTTTCAATTTATTGCTTAAAATTTTCACTCCTAGATTTACAAAGAATAACTTTAATAGTAACCATTCTTCATCATGTCAGATTTTCCTTTTATAGAATTCTTTAAGGAATCAATAAAGTAATTATGACTAATTCATGGATACTTAATATAACAAATTATTCATTAATATGTGCTCAGATATCTGACGTTGCTCTTCAGATTATTCATGCTGATGAACATCAGGTTTTTATTTAACATTGAACTTTATAAAATAAATAAAACCGATAAAATTTTCTATTCTTTTCACAAGATTTTTTTATTGTTTTATTAGTGTAACTTATATTAATTTTAACCCTTATCCATTAATTATTAATTTCCTTTTAAGATCTCTCACCACGAACCGTTTGGTGGATCGGTTCAGTTCGTCAATATTGAAGTAAAAAGTCTTTCGGGAAAATTTGAAACATTCATTATTAGGTATACACGTACATATAAAAATTTAGTATTTAATATTTATCCTATTTTATAATATTAATCTTTATATTATTATATTATCTTTATATTATCTATATTATTTATAATATTAATATTTTATAATATTTATCCTATTTTATAATTATAATATTTATCCTACATATGGTTCCATCATGCAATATGCGACTTTTTTCCAGAATCCAAGCCGATTCATTCAGAGACATGCAAGATAAAATTAATAAACCAATTAGTATTGCAAAAGAAGTTATACTTCGTCAATCATTAAATGATCGATTTATTGAAGCTTTTGTTGAACAAGTTCGCAGTAATCCGCGTTTTGATTATCGTAATGTAGAAGTTTGTTTTTGTTAATGGAAAATTATAAAAAATTTTAATTTATTTATATTTAATTTAAAATATTTAATTTTATATCCATTTTGATTGGCTAAATAGCAAGTTAGTGGAATCACACAATAGATTGTTGTTCTGATTTTGGAGCCGATGCTAGAATTATATTCCCTGCAGGAGTAAATCTGCTCTTAAAAATACGGTTAATGCAAGCTTACTCATATGTATTTATGACTGAATGGTTCCCTGATGAAGCTCTAGTCCGGTAAGCCAATAAAGCGAGTCCAATCAGAAATGGTGAAAAAAAGCCAAATAGCGAATTATTTAATTTTCATGCGTCTCTTCTTTATTTAAATTGTTTAAATTTTTCATGAAAAATGGATTTTAACGATTTTAAAATAAATATTTTTAATATTGGCATTAGAAAAGCGAAATCCTTTCTTAATTCGCTCAATTTTTTCTTTATAATTTATTAATTTTGTGCTCCCACATCTCACTGATTATATTTAGAATCTTGAACCATGTTTGGCTTGCGCTTCTGAATTGCCAAATATAAAACTAAACAAAAACTGTATTAGTCACGAAGAAATAGATTTTGATGGTGAACCTAGACCTTTATGTACGCAATGTTATTGCCGTCCAATGTGGTTTGTTTGAATTCTTTATAAAGATTAAGTTTTGTTTTGATTATTTTAATGGTGTATTATTTTCAGAATATGTAATTTTGGATATTTCTTGTAGGTGTGTTAGGTGTATGTCTCTAATTTTCGCTGCCAAACAAGATAGAAATCATCCTGAACGCTGGATGCCTGGGAAAGCAAGTTGTCCTACATGCCGTGCAATTTTTTGCGTTCTTGATGTTTCGTTTTTATCTTAGTTGGTTGAATCTTGTATTTTGATTTGCCTTTTCCTCATTAATGTGATATGTTTCAGTGCTAAAAAAAAAGTGATTCCCTAAAATTTTCATATTTTAGATTAAATTTCATCGTTTTAAAAAGTATGCTGTGGTTGAAATTTTTTACAATTTGGGTTTTTTTATGCTGATTAATTTTTTTTTGTTAAAAATTTTTATTAAAATTAAAAATTTTTTTTGAAAATCCTATCGTCGAAAAGAATTTGGAGAAAATAAAGTTTAGAAGAATTTAGTGAAATTATCATAAGGTTGAAATTTCAAAAAAAATTAAACAAAATAAATGAAATTTTTACGTTTTAAAGTTTATTCTAATTTTATTAAATTTTGTGCGAAAATATTTTCGAATTGGAATGTTTTTGATATTTGAGCGATAAATTGTGATAAACATGTTGTCTGGGTTTACAGCATCGAGGTTCATATCTAGCAAGACTCATCATTAGTTCATATTTTCTTTTTTGTTTGCTGATATGCTTAAAAATTCCTTCTTTGACAAATATACAATATTGGTTAATTATCGGGGATTTATTACTGTAGAATAAATTAATTTTTCTACCAATTAAATTTACAATTATTATTAGTGGATATTGGCAATGGAAATAAAATGGGGTCGAAATGAAAGAATACAAAAATATAGGATGACCATGAACCCCGTTGTAAAGAGGCTGATAAACGACGAATGCCTTTCATCGCATCAATTCTACTGATCAAACAGTCTTTTATTTTACTATCGTTTCTTCACTTCGAACATTTTGTAAATTAATTATTTTTCAATTCTGTCATTAAATCTCTTCCTAAATATTATCACTGAATTTATTTGAGCAAAAATTCTCTAATTTTCATGAACTATTTGAATAAACGTCAGTGCGTTTATTTGTTCTTCATCCATTTTATTTATCAAATTCTTTCTGATAAGAAGAAAAATTTCTATTCGTTGACTCGGTTATAGGTAAGGGGTCAACGGGGTTGGCACTAAAATTGAGAATAATGTGTAATTTTCTTTACATTAAGAATAGCCAAGAATTTCATCGAATTCAAATTACATATTACGACGTTTTATGTGTGTACTTTTTTCCTCTCCTCCCACACTCAACAATAATCACCAATCGTCTAAGGATTCGAATTAATTTATAGGGGTCATATAAATCATTGAAGGGTTCTAATTAAAACTTATACGGCTGTTTATTGACAAGTAATTATTATCATTTACTTGCTGTGATTAGATAATCACTACTCCGCTATGCTAGCACCCATTGAAAAGGTTCGTTAATTTAATAATTTAATAAAATTCTGGTTTATTTAAATATTTAATTATTTGATTATTATTAAATATTTATTTGATTTAATTAAATTTATTAACGACTAACATTCCTAATGCTTTAATTCTTTAAATGCCTCCAATAATTTAGAATTTTTAAAGTTCCTTTTTCTTTCTAATAAATTCCTTTAGCAATTAGTAATTTTCAATGGCTTCTTTTATTCTTAAGGTATTGCCAAAGAGCCACAATGGGATAGACAGGCGGACCGGCAGTACCACCCTAGATGATAATATTAATGTGCCTATCTAGTATTATTTTTTTTTATTAGTATTCAGCCTTTAATTATTCCATAGTTCGAACGTTAATTGGCTCAATATTTTGGAGCGTTTTTTTCTGAAACTGAAATATCCATCATTCGTAATGTTCCTATTATTCGTTATTGTTTTCATACCGTTTGCTAGCAAACCTAAATTTTTTTATAGATCCAAACACTTCAAACTGCAGAAAGCTTAAAGTTCCAACAAATAATTGAAATCACTCATATCGAAAATTTCCTAGTTCTTTCATTTTTTTGAACGAAATCTCTCGATGTTTAATCATTTCTCTATTATTATTTTATTTTTGGCAATCAAATTAAAATCGAAAACAAAAAATCTAAACCAATCAAACTATTCGATAGTAAATCCTTATTAGTGTTTTCCATTTTTATTTTTACAACTTCCATTTATTCACAGAATATCACGAAAGTTTGCTGTTCGATTATCGGAATTCCTTAAAAGAATTCCACTGAAACTAAAAAATTAAGCGGTTTAATCAGTATTAAGCAATTTGTTCTGCACTGATATGATTTAATTTAATATTCTAAATAATTTAATTAGTGAATATTTTATTGAACTCTGCGAAAGCTTAAAAAGAATTTGCATTACTGTTAATTTGCTGAAAAAAATTGCTTTTAAACAAAACAAAGCATAATAGCCATGCGATTGAATATTTCAACAGCAAAAACAATGTGAGAGCGGTAATTGCAAAACACGAGTAACGTTAAATTCAAAGTTTCATCGAGAAAAGAAAGTTTTAATGATATAGCAAAAGTATTTAAGAAAGTGGAGAATTTTTCTCAGATAGCTTCCGAGATAAAAATTCTAATCAGTTTAGTTTAAAAATTTAAAGGGAGAGAATGGCTTAGTGGGTTGTTGCGGAACTCGGAGCGCCGGTGCTGAGGTTTGATTCCCCGCAGGAGTAAACCTGTCCAAAAATCGGGTGCTGGCGACTCACCTGTATTTCTATCGCCAAGGGACTCCCTGGCATATTTGTCCAGTGCGACAAGTCAGCGGAGCGAGTTTAACCAGAAATGGTGAGGACTCTTAAAAAATAGTTAAAAATTAGATATTATTAGAACAAACAGCACGATTGAGGATAATTTTAATCTAAAGATTAAGAGAAGAAATAAAAATTCTTCTTCGTAATTTTTTAATTTCAAACGATTTTTTCAAATTTTTTTCGAATTTAAATTGTGCTCAGTAAAAGATTATCATTTCAAATCAACTGCAAAGGAAAATTTGAAGAAATTCAATTACGTGTAAACTGCAATCATTAAATGAATTAAAACAATTAGTTTCCCTTGTCTGAGAAAAAAATCTAATTTTAGAATTAATTATAAATACGTAGAAAAGAAGAATAATCAAGCGAAACCATGCACTTCTATAAAAGAATGTAGATGGATTTTTAGAATCAACCAGTATGGTATTCATTCGGCGATGGTTACTCGGTTCCAGCGGTTGTCATCGATGTCGAGCCGTTAACAGTTAAATGCACAAATAACGTAATAAAATTAAATTTCACTTGGCTTGATTTAATAATCAAATCTAATAATATGCGAATATAATTTTTGTGATTTTCCACTTGACTCGCTAACTCGTTTAAACTTGGAGAAAATATTCTGATACTTTTTCCCAATTAGGAATATAGGAATGCTCTTCCTAGGAAAAGAAGTTAAAAAGCACTTTTCAAGAAAAAATTACCTAAAAATGCGGAAATATACTATTAGTTAAAAATATTTTCTTTAGAAATATTTTAATTGGAAATGATCAAAATTAATGTTTTTTAATTTAGGCTGAAGTGATAACGGTTGATAACCTCCTTCGACTGAGTCCCCGCAAATTCTTTGATGCAGCAATCGAAAATATAACTAATATTCCGTATTTTTTTGGTTATTTTGGATAAAAATTGCGTTCTGGATTTTTTCTATCTATCCGAATATTTAAAACTTTTAAAAATCTCATAGCTCGCAAAATTTAATTGTGGTGAAAAATGAATTTAACGATAAAACTAAGAAGGAATTCGAAATATACTGTAAAATGTTTAATTTATTTGTTTGGTCCATGGCGAAGAATTTATCGAAAATTTTTATTCGACGTTCTAAATATTTTAGTGACTGAATAATTTTATTGTCATTTTACACATTTCTATCCTTTTGAGCGAATTTAACGTGCATTTTTGCTGAATTTCCATTTAAATGTTTTAGGAAAACTCTTAACTTTTAAATAAAAAAATAAACAAGAAATTATTTTCCAGTGATGAAAATGATTCCGCAATATTGTTTTGTTTACAAAAACGCTTTGAAAAAAAACGAATTTACGTAAGAAAAACTTTTCATTCGAATATTATTGAAATTGAAGAAAAAATTAACAGATTTTTACGGTTTTTAGGATCTCTTCAGATTGGATAGAATTTTCTGCATAAAATTTTCCATAAACGAATCAAAAATCGCATTCATTCCGTTCGCCTTTTGAAGATGAGATTACTGATCTGCAAAATTTGAAAGTAATGAATACGAGATAAAAATTCAGAAATTATAAATTTAGACATTTGTTGACGATGTTCTGTTGGCTTTAAATCCACATGAAGAATTAAGCATATATGATGAATCTATTGTCAATTTATACTGCCAACAACCCATTTCGACATTGCATGCGTAAGTTGCAAAACCCATTAGTTCAGCTTTTCCAACTTTTCCCATTTGCATATTCCGATTAAATTTATTGCATCGGCAATGTCCATGCAAAAAAAAACTGATTGGTAATATAAGGGTTTATGAAAACAATTAGGAGATTTAGTAATTAAGTCTTGTCATAAGTTGCAAATTAAATAAGTTGCAAAATTTTCAAGGCATATATATTCAATAGCGCAAAGTGCCATTAAACAATTATCTGAATCACCAAAGCATGAAACAATATGTTTTAGGTTGGTCCATTTTTTGTAATATAGCTTGATTAAAAAGATAAATGGCGAGTTAAAGCAAAGTTTGTGAAATTAATGGGTTGCATTTCAGTGGTGAATCGGGATCAGGGAAAACGAGAAACTTAATGTATGCGTCAAAATATCTTATATATTCGGCTAAAAAAACGATTATTTCGGCTGAACAGGTTGTTTTTCCATTTATTTCCAGCATCATCGATAGATTTGACTGGCACACTTGAAAAATTTCAGTTATTAATTGAATCAATATTTTTTTTAAAAATTATTTCTTCAGGTTGAAGCTATTTGTACGATTATAAATGCATTCGGTGGAGCGAAAACGTTGAAGAATGACGATGCCACTCGTCTTGGATATTTCATACGACTTTTTTATACAAAAAAGTAATAGCAATTTTAAGAAAACCATTTCTCATCTGAACCATTTTATTGCAGTCTGCAGATATTATTTTGTAGAGTGAATTGAATTTGGTAATGTAGTATGTAAAAAAAGGAATTCTGCCTCTGAGAATCAGTGAAACCTTTAAGCTGACATGTTTTTTACGAAATTCTACAAAAAACTTTTTTCAGTGATTCTATTGATGGAATTGAACTGCGCAGTCCATTACCGTTGGAAATAAATCGATGTGTTTGCCAAAAAAACGGTGAACGAAACTTCAATATTTTCTACCAAATGTGTGCTGGCATAGATTCATCTTTGCGAGCGAAATTTGGCATAAAGCAGTCGTCAAAATATTTTTATTTAAACCAGGCTACTTTTTAATTTTTTAGTTCATAAATTCTGGATAAATTCTTAAATTTTGAGAATTAAAGGTTGTGTTCCACTTTCCACTAATTTAAATAATTTAAATATTCAAATCTTCTTCTTCTAATGGCTCTCACTATTACTGGTTAGGCTGTTTCCAACGGCTACAAGGGTAAGACGCTTCCAAGCGCCGCGGTCTGATGCCATCGTCGACAGTAATGGAAGCCATTCCTTTTTCCATCATCTAAGTCCATATATTGCTGGTCCACCTATACGTTCAAAATCTTTTCTCACCGTATCAGTCCAAGTCTTGATTGGCCCACCTCGCTTTTGACGCCAACCATCACATAGTTTAGCAAAACGAAATATGCGTCAACTCCTGTGGTGCCATAACCAGCGAAGGCGGCGCTCTGTGATAAAATTATTTATACAAGTGGTATTTGAACGAAGATGGATGCGATCATGTGATATTTTATCCGCTCGATGGATCCGTAATATATAACGGATCCTTAGACAAGAGTGGTAAAGTAGGATAACTTCTTAATATACTCCACTCTCATTAGCCATGTCTCAGAACCATATAGCAAGATCGAACGAACCACAGCTATAAAAATGCAGACTTTCGTTTTTATGGTAATTTCACGACGACTCCATAAAGGTTTCGTCAACCGGAAGAACGCATTTCTAGCTGCCTTGATACGAGTTGTAATATCATCTTTTGCCTGTCCATTTGGTATTATAGTGGGCCCAAGATATTTGAAATCGGACACTTCCTCAACCGCAATGAATTTACAAAAAGAGGCATTTTATCAGCTTCTTGCATATATGACGAAAAGGCTTTCGTCTTATTTACATTGATCCTGAGTCCGATTCTGACACGTTATTTAGTATTGCTTGCATTTTGTTATAATTGTCAGCAAAAAGGACTACATCATCAGCGTAGGATCTGTGATACGATGCTCTGAACTAATTCGGACACCTCTTGAATGCCGACAAGTAGTATCCATTATCCAGTCTATCGCATAGTTGAATATTGTGGGGGAAAGGACGCAGCCTTACGGACACCTATTCTTATTTCGAAGGAATCTGTCAGTTCCGCATATACACAGACCTGCGCCGACTTGCGCTCATAAAATGCCTTTATGAGTCTAATGATTTTCTCTGGTACACCGTCACGTTCCATCACCCTCCAAAGCGCCGGTCTATCGATTCAATCAAAGATAGCCGTAAAGTCGATGAAACACTTGACAACGGGTTCCAAATATTTAAAGCAATGTCCCTTCTTAACGTGAATATCTGTCAGCAAAACCGCCCCCTGGTCTGAAACCAGCTTGATTAGGGCGCATCCTGCTGTCCATAAGTCTGTTGAGTAGCAGGAAGCAAAAATTTTTGAGACCTTTCTTGAGAATTGGAAGCAGAATTGCTTTGCTCCAATCATCTGGTAATATTTCTTTTTCCATGCTAAAGAGTACATTTGTTGAAGGTGCGTTATGAAGGAAGATGGACGCTCTTCGGTATAACGAATAGCATGAATTTTTGATGAAGGCGTTCTTCATTGGCACACCGGTCTCCGATGCCATATTTGCCAATTGTTGAGGTCATCGCAGTTGCATTATGACCATTCCAGTCTTCCCCCATTATGATCATGTCACTTTTCGGTAGAGACTTTGTTAGCAGTTAAAGTTCCGCATAGAACTTGTCTTTATTACGGTCATCTGCCGACTTGGTGGATTTGGTGCATAGACCACTGATGACCGAGATATTGCAAAACTTACCCTTAAAACGGGCATAGACCTTACGGTCATTTACCGATTTCGACTCAATCAAAGTGGAATGGGCCTTGTCAGACATGACAATTTCCATTTCGTCCCGAGTTATTCGAAGCACCACAGTGATATAGCCAGTATCTCTGCTCTGCACCAAGATTAATAATTGTTCGAGACCCAAAGTGAGGAAGACTGACCTCCGACAAGCAAGCGATGTCAACACGATACTTAGACGTGGTGTGGACAGAGATCGCTTGGTTTGCAACGTCCATAAGTGTTCTGACGTTCCTTCACGCGGCTAATACCTCGCCGAGGACTATTCCCTTTGATAAATTTTGAGCAATTACCTTGGCTTGAGAGCACATTTTATTATTTACCAGCCTTGGGATCACTTTAAGCCCGAATTGTATGTGCCACTTATCACATGTACCACCGGGCTCGAAGTATCATGCGCGTCGGGAGACGCGGACGCCGTATTAAGTATATCTGACCCTTTCACCATAGAGATCACTTGGGGATAGAATTACAGGTGGGTCCCCAGCAGCCACCCGGAATATTCCCATTTTTTCAATATTTTGCTTTCTTTGTTGGCAGAATTGAGCAGTTTTGCTGTATTTTAGGGTAAATGTGCTACTAATGAGGAAATTGAGCTGAATAAATTTGTTGATTTGCGGCAAGCAATGCATTTTCTTGGATTTACTGATGATCAGCAAAATTTTATTTTCCGCGTTTTGGCTACGATTTTGCATATTGGCAATATATTCTTTCGTCCGAGGAAGGTCAGAATAGAGAATAACCTATCGCTTTGTATCTTTTTTCGCGTTTAAAAAATAAATAAATACGAAGAACAAAAGTAAAATTTTGAATTGTGGGTTTTCTGTAAGTAGAAAAAATACTTGAGAAAAACAAATATTGAGTATTTCTAAACTAACTATAAATTTTTAGGTGTCCGAAAACCCAGAAATTGTTGGAGTTGAACCCGTAAATGAATCTGAAATTAAGTGGTCTGCATATTTACTCGAGCTCGACGTTATTCAGTGGAATGCGGTATTCACTAGCAAATCTATAGTATATTTTTATCTATAGTCTATAGTATAGTATATTATTTTTGAGTTCTTTTTTTCTTAAACAGTAATACCGTGAAGCATAATTAATCAATGAATAATAAATTATTACTTTATTTTTATTCATTATTTGATCTATCTTTAGAGAAAAGGCGATGAGCAAGTGTCAGTACCACTGAATATGGTGCAAGCACTGGATGTTAGGTATGCTCAGTTAGATCATATAGGTCGTATTATTTTCTTCAGCCAGAAGATTTATTTCGAATCGAAGGATTCATATCTTTTGTACTTTTTACCAAATTGTAGCATGAAGTTTTAGAGATTCTTTGGCTCAATTTCTTTATAATGAATTATTCCAATGGATTACGTCTCGTATATCATTTAAATATCAATGCACAAAGTATAATTCTTCCATCAGTCTTCTCGATTATTATGGATTTGAAGTAAATTCGTTGTTTTTTTATCGGTCATTTCATTCTTGTTCTTCATTTTTAATCCACTAATGTAATTTTATATAAACTATAGACAAAAAACTTACCTTGCAGAGCCGAAAATTTTTTAAAAAAAATATTTCTAAATCTAAAATTTTTGCGTGAGAACTATTTCTCAGAGAACTATTGAGAAAGTGTTTTCAATTTATTTTAAGTTTTTTATATTCATATATATTTTAAGCTCGAATATTATGTTTATTAAATTCATTTTAGGCCTAAAATATCAAAAGTAAATCGAAATAGGTTTAGGTTTGATCGTTTATTTTCTGAAATTTTTGTTTCCGCAATAATATAACTTATTTAAGCGATATAATAACAATTCATTTGAACAATTATGTGTCAATTTGGTAAATGAACGAATCGAACAATTTTATTTGCAAAAGATTTTAAAAGAGGTTTTATATGATTATCAGAAGCAAGAAATCGAGATCAACTATCAGGTAAAAAACTCATTTTTGCATAGAAATAATTGTTATATTGTCTTATGATATTGCTATATGGAACTTTAAACTCGAATTCCGAAATAAAAAATTTTAGATGCCATCGAAGATTAATAATGAACGTGTTATCGAACTTCTCGTCAAACGCCCTAATGGTTTAATACCACTTCTTGATGATGAATGCAAATTTCCAAAGGTCATGTATTTTTAATAAAACTAACTAAAAATAAAGCTTTATGGCTTAAAGAATCATTATTATAAATATATTCCACAACTAACTATTTAGATTTTCATGCTTTTAATAATATTCGATTGAAAAAAAGATCGAAATTTCCGTATGAACATTAGATAAATATATGCCATTTAGGCATCTGCCGAAGGCTATCTACAGCGTTGTAATTTAAGCCATCTTGGCAAGAATATTTACGGCAAAGCAAGAACAAAAGATCGCCAGGAATTTGCTATTAAACACTTTGCTGGTCAAACTTTTTATTCTGTTCAACAGTTTATTGAAAAAAATCGCCATCCTATAAATATTGACGCGATCAATATTCTTGCCAGAAGCCAAAATACGGTTAGTTTCATTAATATTATTTAGGCTTTTTATTAATGTTATCATTATTAATATTTAAGTATTTATCTATCTTGCAATCAATGACAAGCTGTAAAATCCACTTTTGAATATTTTTCCCATTTAGAATTTTCTATGCCGTTATTTCCGCAAAAAAGTTGAATATTAAAAGGGGATATCCAGAAATAAAGCTGTTTTTTATAGTCCGTGGCTCAAACATTTCGAAATTGCATTGTTTCGAAAAATGTTGCTCAAGATGGATTTGTATATGTTGCACAACAATTTAATCGAACTTCAAAAATTCTTATCGACAGTATTAGCAAGTAAATTTAACATTTGTAGAAAACTTAGAATATTTCATGACAGAAAAGTAATTTTTAGAAAATATGTTCCTCATGGAAAATTTGATCGTTCTATTTTTGTTATGTTACTATCATTGTTGTAGTATTTGGCAACATCCATCCTTAATTTTAAGAGGAAAATGCCAATTCGTCCGATGTATAAGATCGAATAATGAGAGACAGCCTGGAAAATTTTGCGAGCAAACCGTTATGCGCCAACTACAAGCCTATGTAGTTCCTGATACAGCTATGATTAGACGACGTGGATTTCCCGTTAAGCATACTTTCGAAGATTTTGCGGCACTGTTTGTTTTTAGTTATATTTCTTCTAAACTCCAATATATAATCAATTTTTTTGCCTTTTTTAACTTTTTTATGTATAATTTAATAATGTATATAATAATAATGTATGCATAATTCTTTTTCTTGTATATTCCAGTTTTTATTTTGTACCTTGTAAATTCTATTATTAGCAAAGAAAAAGAGCAAAAAGAGCAAATGACAGTTGAACATAATTTATCACACATTGTTTAATTATTTGCAACTATTTTTAAATATAATTAAATATAATTAATCATAAAAATAATCATAAAAATTAATCATAAAAATAAAGAAAATATGAAAAAATTGTTAGCTGATGATTTTTTAGCTTTTATATATTTTTATTTTGGCAGATTTCGATGTCTATTACCGGCAGAAGTTTCTCGATTCCAGCCAATTAATCAAATTGTCAAAGATATATTGGAGCAACAAGGGCATAAATTTCACGATCATTATCGTATAGGTGAATTATTAATTCATTACATTTCTTTTTTTGCTCTTTAAGAGTTTAGCGTTCGCGAAATTTAATAATTACCTCAAAAAATAATAATAAAAGAGAAAGAGCAATAGCAATAATGACACTCCAATGAAAAAATGTATTGCTGAAAGTAATTCATGCTGTTTCTTCTTATCAGAGTTTTATCTTATCTTATGCTCTAGGAAAAGACTCAGTTTACCTGAAAGACCAACTGCAGAATCATCTTGAATCAGTTCGTGCAGTGATAATCGAAAACGCGGTTATATTAATTCAAAAAAATGCACGGGCAATGATTGCGCGCAAAAAATTTCGAAATCAGAGGAATGCGGCGATAATTCTTCAATCTGGTTTAAGAAGATGGCGAGCAAGGTTAGATTATTTCAGAAGGCATCTATGAGATTTTTCCTTAAGGTTGCTCACCATTCCTGGTTAGGCTCAATACGCTTTAAAAATCTTTTAAATTACTTCTATTTTTAAAGCAGTAATTCATAAATAACAATTATTTTTTCAATTTATAGTAATAAATTCTTCAGTAATAATAACGGTATTACTAACAAATTACGGTAAACCTCAGCCATATTTTACTCATTCATGGAAAAAGAAAACAGATTTTACTAATACCATTTGCGTAACGATAATCTGATTGAATTTTAATTGGTAGGAGAGAAGTCGATCGAAAACGTGTCGAAATTAGAAAAGCAATAGATGCGGAAACGAGAAATATTCGGAAACTTAATTTATATAATGAAGATGGAGCTAACATTATTGAATCAGCAGAAAATCGAAATCTTCAACCTCTGGAAACTTCAGCTGCTCCTGTTCAATATCTCGATTTTCCGGAACAACTTAAACAGCGGATGAATGAAATTGATGATAATGAAATGAATAATTTTTGTAACACATTTACCTATACGCCATTCTTGAAAAAATGTGTTAAACCGCAAATTCCCTCTATATCACTGGAAGAATTCGCGAAGCAAAGTTTCAAGGTAGTAAATAATAATATAATATAATAATTAATATAATTAATAATTTTGTATAATATAATAATTTTGTATTTTTGAATTTTTTAGGGAAAAAATTTTCGTTTAAACGCTTAATATTCCAAATGTTTTCCTTCAATTCTTTTAGACCAAAATTTATAGTTTGATTGGTTTTCATTGGTAGTTTAATTTTATGGAAATTTTTATTGGAGAATAGTGGGGAATAGTAGAGAATTGGAGTATATTTATATCGAAATCATCGAAATCATGATTTATCTCAAGATTTTTCATGCAATTTTTTATAACCCACTGAGCCGTTATAAATTTTTATATATTTTCTTTCCCCTCTCTTTTCAAAAAATTATTCGAAATATGCGAGCTTTCTCTCATATTTTTTTCCATGGAAAGTTTCAAATGTGATTTTTTCAATTCATTTCAATTCAGTTAATGAATTTTAAGAGTATAACAATGGCTCAGTGGGTTGTTGCTCAATTCGGAGCGCTGGCGCTGAGTTTCTACTCCCCGCAGAAGTAAACCTGTCCAAAAATACGGGTGATATTGGCGACTTACCTATACTTTTATCGCCAAGGGATTTTCCTGGTCTTGTCAACAACAGCCAACGGAGCGAGCCTAGCCAGTAATGGTGAGTGTAGTTAAAAAAAAAAGAATGCTACCGCTCACCATTTCTAGTTAGAATTGCTCCGCACTTAGAAATTTTTTGGAATTAATTGGCGATAGATGTTGCGAGCAATATTCATATTCTTTAATGACAAGTTTATTTCTGCTGAAAGTAGGTTCCGGAGATTGATGCTCGATATGATGCGTTCAATTTACTGTATTAAAATTTTTCAGATAATTGCGAGAAGAATTTAATGAGTTAACAGAAGTCCATAAGATATCAATAACAATTTTAATAATTTTTTTTTGCTGCAGTAATTCCAATTTACTTATGCTAAATAATTTTTTAGAATCATCTTCTTGAAGCTCGGCGCGAACCAATAATCACACCATTTTTACCGAAAGATACAGAGGAAGAATTTAATGAAGCACTTGAGATTTTTAGACTCATTCTTCGATATATGAATGATACGTTACTTTCTAATTCACATTTGGCTTCAGTTGCAAAATATATAATGCAAAAAGTATGCTGCCTTTATTTTTAAAAATATTTTAATAATATTGATGACATGAATAATATTTTTTTCCAAAAAAGGAAAATATTCTAAAATTGGTCCGTTAAATTTGGAAAAACCTAATGCAAGTGATTAGTGCCCATTTCTTCTACTTAAGCCAGCTCCACTGGCTATTTCAATAAATGTAATTATAGTGGATTTCTGCATCTAAAAAGCTTTAGAACATTAAAATAGCTAAATTTTGTGAGGGATATCATCATATGACAATAGTTATACAAGTGAATTATACCACTCGGATTTTTTGTGTTTTTCTCTTATCATACACCGCTATTCTTCCTCTAAGTTTTATGATGATCTGGAATGCATCTCTTGTCCAGCAATCTAAATTTTTCTAGCTTTTTTCTCAATTTCTTCATTTAACCATTCAAATTTTTTTTTCTGAATGACACAATGCATTTGATAGTATTTTCAATACATTCACTTCCTTTTTCTCCACTGTTTTGCTAATCTCTCATTGTTTTCAAATGGATTATAAAAAGGTTATCAACCACATTCAGATCAATTTTTTAGTGATCCATTGTGCGATAAAGAAATAGGTAAAGAATGAGAATGAATATCTCCTCAGATGGAATAATATACCATTCGACGATTTTGGCTTCTACTGCTTGAATTTTTTATGAAATTTATTATGATCATGATTATTAAAAAATTATTCTTGTTATTCTTTAAGGGGATAGGTCGCCCAGAACAAAGAGATGAAATCTTCGTTCAGCTTTGTAATCAGACTTATCGTAATCGTGTTAAAGCGAATGCTGATAAAGCGTGGACATTGATGCTTGCTGCTTGCAACAGTTTTCCACCTAGCATTCATATATTTCCAGTATTAATGCAGTAAGTCGCTCATTTTATTTTTGACTGCGGCATATAGCATTTAAATCAATTATCTCTTCAATGTCCACTAAAACTATAAAACTATAAAATTTTAGATACAAATTTAAAATAAATACGTTAATTTTTAAATTTTGTAAATTTGTAAATTTCTGGAATAAATATATAAATGAATTAATAGTTTAATGATACTGGTGCCATGGATTCAAATTCTCTTCTTCATTCTGTTCTAACTCCTGAAGTGTCATTAATGAAAAATATGTGGTAGCCATTTCCACAAAGTCGGTCTTTGAAAAATTTATTTTCAATAATGGAATTTCTTTCTTTCTTTCTTTCAGTTATTTCCAAAGTGCACCTCAGAATCTTTCACAACTTCTTACTGATAGTCTCTTGCGACGAATTCGTAATAAAGATTCATCATCTAATCGTCTTCTTGCGCCTACTTTTCTGGAGCAAGTATAGTGTTTTTTATCTATAGGTAGCTCTTAGGTTTTCAATAGTCGCTGTGCACAAATCCTTTTTAAGGCCGGCTTCAAATATCGACAGCCAACCGTACTCGAGGTAGAGTCTCCTAATGGTGAAACTGAGGATATAGAAGTAGATTCCTGGATAACATGTGAAGAACTAGCGACAACATATTTGCAAAATAAGTTAGTTTTAATTTAGATCTTTTTTTCCATCTGTGAACTCTTCGTATACATGGTTTACCAATCTCATTTTTCTTTTTAGAGGACTAGGTGAATCGGATGGCTGGACAATAACAGTTACTAATTCAGTATGGGTAATACACGGAGCTGGAAATCATTATCTCTATGACATAATTGCTCAATTAGAGGAACGTCCTAGGAAATCTGAAGAAGAATTTTTCGTTCATTTTGACAATGCAGGTGATTTTTCTGCCGATAAGATGGTTGTGCAGAAACAGTCAATGCTGCCTCCGGTTATTGCTTTATATTGATGAATACTTTAAATTGCTTTATTCGAATAACAAAAGTTATTTGTTAATATTTAAATTTCTTATGTAATACCATCTTCAGTGGTATGTAGTACAATAAATCTTATAGTACAGTAAATCTTGTTTAGCAGATTTATCTTATTTGTATCTCTTCGCTTATTTTCTACTTTACTTTTCAGGATGACGTCGCTTCACTATCTGTTCAACATTCATCCATTGGTCAGAGGGACATTGCAGATGCAATTGAAAGGACCATGCCTCCTACACCACCGGTGCATTGTCGCCATCACAAGACTGAAAACAGATATGATGGGTTCGTTCATAACTTTAAATATTATAATTTCAATATATTTTGAAAAAATTTATATGGAAAAACTGAAAGATACTTTAAAGACAGTTAACTATATATCCCCAAATATTATATATTAATATATTAAATGTATATGTTATGTCATTCATATTAAAGGATAATGAAATACGAATTAAATGAAACTCCACTTCCACCGCCTCGACAAATACCAAAAACTTCAAATGGAAATCCAAATAGAATATATGGTTTCTGTTTTTGCAATTATTATATGCAAAGTGTATTTATTATATTAACAAAATATCATTTCCTTAACCTTTTATACATGCTTTTTATTAAGCTTTTTATTTTTGATTCCGGCAGTTTCTTGCGTAAAGATTGTTTCTTGGAAGTATTTCTTTAAATGGTCAACTATTGTAAAATCTTTCTAGGTTAATCTTTAGGGTCCGCTGGAAAAATATCAAAAGGAAATAAACAGTTTGTTTAGTGAATAAAAAATTCTCATTTATTATGTAGAAAATATTAAATGAATGATTAAGGCACGCTAGATGAACATGGCGTTCAGAACTCACCGCGAACATTAAGAAGGTTTGTTGGTGCAAATGAATGCGAGCCGAAGTCTACCCAGCCAAACTCTTTCGATGTATGTTTTTAATTATTATTACGTATTATGTCACAATATCATAAAGAAAAATTATATAAAAATTATAAGAAAAAAATTAAAATTATATAAGAAAATGCACTTTTAGCAAGCAATGGTTGCAAATGAGGAATATACACCATGTTCTGAAGATGGGCAAACATTGTCAAGGTATAGGCATCAACAGCAACAGTTTGCTGAGATGCGCCGTCTAGATTCACGTCCCCAATTTGCTTATATACCTCAACAATTCGCCGTGGTTATGCTATTTTCTTATTATTTAAATATTTTTCCTCCAGATAATCTGATATTTTATATTGCCATAAAATTTTCACTGTTAATTTTTAGCCAGTTGTGCCAGCACAAGTTCAATTAATGCCAATTATGCTACCGGCTACAACAAATATGCCGCAAAATTTTGAATTTAGGTCCTTACCGAAAATTGAAAATAGTACGGATTTTACTCATTTTTCGATTACTTTATGACCAAAATGCCAAAAATATAAATACCGAAAAATAAATACCAAATAAATAAAAATAAAAACCAAAAATACCATCTTATTTCAAAAAATTCAAATTTAGTGCGAAGTGATCGAGTTAGTACTTCAGTAATGATGAATGAAGATATTGGAAATATTAAGGTATTGCTTTTTATTTTTTTAGGTCATTACTTAAAACTTGTACCATTTATTTTAATTGAAGGAAAATGCTTATTTTAAAAGGAAATGAATTTTTTCATTAGTCATTTCAAAAAATATGTAAATAAACAAAATAATTGAAATAAAGAATATTTATATTAAACTTAAATAAGTTCTTAGATGTTTAAAATTTTTGCATTCATAAAAGTGAATTCATTCGCTCATTCTTACAACAAAAAAGTAAAGTATCTGATTAAGGTAATGGAAAAATCTAATGAATCTGTTCGAGAATATCAGGATGATAGAATTCAGACACGTGATAGCAATCTCTATAGCGGTAGATATTTAATGTTGGATATCTATATCATCATTTATCCTTTTATCCTGTTTATTCTGTTAAAATTCTGTTTAAAGCTTCAAATCAGATAATTAAAATCAGATGAGGTTAATAATATACAATAAGGCTTCAAGTAAATATTCAACAGTTCCATGTTTAGAAGAGCAACTTCGTCGTCCCGCAAGCGGTTATTCAACAGCATCCATATCGTCACGTATTCGACGAATGCAAATCCCATCAAAAAATAGCGATGTCGACAAATTTTTAGATGAAGTTTTTGAACAGGTTGGTACATATGTTGCAGTTAGTTGTAATTTCGGCTTTAAACATTTAGGCTTATGTTTTAATAGTCTTTATATTTTAGGTTTTGCCACCACACGAATTAGAAAAAAGTAATGAAATTTGCATGAATAAAAAACTGATTGCCTCGAGTATTAAAGGTGGAGCAGCGCTTTCGGCTTCATCTGAAGCAGACATACCATCAGTCGGCGGAATTAATTCTGCTATGAATTATTATCAACCATCGATGGTGCTTTTTTCGTAACCAAAATATTGCTAAAATTTTATCTTGGATATTTTCGTTGGGCACGAAATGCTAAGACCTATGGAGAATCAGTCCATTGTTTGTTGTCCCAAAATTGATATATTCATATCATGTAGACACCGATTTGAAATTATTCCAGTCACAATTAGAAAAATCATGGATTACAATGAAAAATAATTAGTCCATTTCCTTATAACCAACTTCTTTTGCATTTATTATAAATTTTAGCAAGCGCAATATGTTCAGCCAAATGTTATGAATTATACAGCGCAACCTGTGATGATGATGATGCCTATCGATGGTATGTTGTATGCGACTATTACATAAGAAAAAAATTAAATCTAAGTGGTTGTATGTAGAAAATTATTTAGGTCGCATGCTCATTCCACAACAGGCTGTTGCTTCGCAGGAGAATCATTTTAATTCCCGAATGACATCAGTTTCTTCAATGATTCAACCTGTCCCTGTTGTTATTCCTTCCATGTTTCCCAGCAATGTGGTACGAAAACTTTGAAAATCTACGATATATTTTTAAATTGATGTGAAAATCAAATTTAAATCAAATGAATGAATCTGCTTCAATAGATCATTTAGTCCATTATTCTAGTCACAATTAGAAAAATCATGGATTACATTCTTGCAGATGATGTGTGTGTCGCCAACTCCAAGTTCAATGCCTTGTTTATCACCTGTTTCTTTCAGGTTACTTATACATTCATTTATTTACAATTTGATTAATTGGTTAATTAATTAATTAATCAATCAAATCAATCAATTAATCAAATTGTTAATCTTAGAAATAATTTTTTGTCAGTCATAACAGTGGCTTCTTTATTGACTATGCGAAAATTTTTAACAAATAATAATTTGCTATATCTCGTTAAAAATTTAAAGTGGATTTATTGGTCTGGATTTTAAGGGAACATTCTGAAGATTTTCCAGCTGTAAGCGATCAAAATTTGTCAGACTTAACGCATTGTACTGCAACAGGAATAAGAGAAAATAAGAGGATAGAGGTAAGGGAAGTTTTCTATTATATTTGTGAAAATATAATATTTTAAGTTAATTCTTGGGATTTTTTTATTAGAAAAGTTAATTAACGATGACCAAAGGATAATACATTGAAGTCATTCAAATCGGTTTGTATTTTCTCACGAAATAAGTAAAAAATTAATTTGATATGCAGAAAATGAACTGTTTTCTTGTTTTCGAGAATGAGCTGTTAAAAATTTCAGCAAACCACTGACGCGTTGAAAACAACGATGAAACTTGTAATATTTTTTTATCTTCTTCAGTTTATAAGATTTAGTGAGAGTTATGTAATACTGGTTTTGTTGCCAAGATTTTCATTGTATCGCAATCCATTATTTATTTTTATATTAGAAAAAAATTTACTAACAGTGAAGGAATTTTTATTGAAAATCTAGTTGAAAACAAATTTATATTTAGCAATCATCACCACAACCAAACACAGCGAAATCACCAATTAATTTAGATGGAAATTCTCGAATTGGCCAAATGAATCCAACATCTATAAAAGCTAGGCAAGCGATAGTTAAAATTTTTTGAAGGCTTTTAAATTTTTAGAATATTTTCTACCAAATCATTATTAAAGATATGTCGGACCTATATCAAATATGACTAATGGACGATCAAGAAATTCTGAGCCGTCGCCTTCACGACAAACAATATCTTTTAAAAGACAAGTCTATTTTCCAATATTTCCAATTTTTAATGAAATATAGTCAATAAATAAACAAAATAATGAATTGGCAAATTTAGATTGAAGGGGAAACGTTAAGACATCGACAAGAAGTTGCATCGCATTCTACTAGCCATCATAAATTAGAAAATATTTCCGATTACAAAAGAAAACACTCCGGAAATGCAAGTAAGAACTGAATTTAGCTATTCATCAACAAACCTATAAATTAATTACTAAAAAATTAGCGATTTTTGCTTTTATTTACAGTTCAGACCGATGGATTAGATGGAAATGAATTCAGAAGAGATGAAATTGCTTATAATACAATCAGTTCTGATCGTCTTGACTCTAATTACATACAAGATTCATCTACTGTTCGTCATTTATTTTTTGTTTTTATTGTTTTTATTTCTCATTAAATCGTTTATTTTTTTAAAATTTAGAATAAAGCACATTTCTATGATAAATCTATAAATATAAATTATAAATAATATATGCATATTTACATATATATATATATATTGTAATTTTTAAAAAATTAATGTTATAGGAAATATATATTAGGTAAATTAGCTTGATAAATATTATAAATATTCGGAAAAATAGCATCAACTTTTCTCAAAACGCTGAATAATATAATTTGTAAATAAATTTACTAGAAGATTTCGTTGAGATTTCGATACTTCGTTCTAGTTAAATAGTTAATTGTTTTAGAGACTGTATAAGACTAAATATAAAATTTTAAATTTTTTACAAATTCGTTCTACCAAAGAAATTATAGATATCAAATAAGAACGTACAAAGTAAAAGGCAAGTAATAGATCCTGCGCAATCACTTTTGGAAGAAAAATTTTATTCGCTGAACAATCATCAAAACAAATCAACTGGCAATAAAAATTCGAATTACATTAATCGTCCAACTCCTCCACCACATGGTGTCGAAGTAATTTTTTTATTTTGGAAGTGAAAGGTTCCTGGCTTTTACATTATTATTAAATACTAGAAGAAATTTAAAATGTTTATATGGCGATCTTTTAGAAATATTTGCAAACAAATAAAAATGATCCGTTGCGCATCGGTGAATGGGTATACGAAGCGGACATTCTTCGTTCGGCAGCCCGAAACAATTCTGAAGTACTAAAAAGTATTGATTTCATGATAACCCATTTATTCTTTTAAATGAGCGTTTTAAAAGAAATTTCTGTAAAGGTTTTGTTGAAAACGAAAAGAGAATTCCAATTTAATATAGTTTATATAACTTATTTAGGCATCGGCATCAATTGCGAGCCAATTAACTTTTAAACTTATAAATAATGCCACCATGAAATAGTAATACTCTGATTTTAGGTAACAATAGGATTAATACGCAGTTGCTCCAAATTTCATCTAAAAAGAATCTTTTCGATAAATCAGCAATGAAATCGCGTGCCGCCGTCCGATACAGACAACAACCGTGGACGTTAACGATAAGGAAAGAAGTAAATCGTTCAGTTATTAATTTATTATAGTCAAACTCAATAATTCAACTCACTTAGGCACATCTTTTATTTTATACTTTTATACTTAATTTCTTCCTTTTTATTACTAATTTGAATTATGAAAGCAAATATTATCATAGCAATATTATAACAAAATCGTATTAATAACGAAGTAACGAGGTGTGGAAATTTATTTGTAAAATTCGCTCATTATAATATATTACATTTTTTCAGTATTATATATATATATATATATTTAATATATTGGTATAACATTTTGCTTGCACTGGTTTTTATTTCTAAATAATAAGTGAGTAGTAAATGCTCATCATTTCAGATCAGGTTAAATCAGCTTGGTGTTAATACGCTTAGAAATTTTCTCCAGTCACTGGTGAGGTGATAGAAATGCAGATGGCAAGCAACATGCAGGCTTAAGCATAGGGCTATTTCTTTCAGAAGCAGTAGCTGGGTCTGTATTTGCCGAGCCGATGTTAAGATGATATTCACCTGATGAGATCATTTATTAGCTCTTGCTGTTATTTCTAAATAAATAAATAAATAAATTTTAGCTATTCTATTTGTATGAACAATTAGACGACATACAAGAGATTGACCTCATATTTAGTCAAATAATCTGTGACTGCCGAAAGCAAATGCCGTATCGAATAAGGAATTACGAAAGAGATTCGATAAGCCAAATTTTGCGTTCGTTTGAACCTTAATTCTCTTCATAAAGCTTACTGTCATCCTCGCTGCCAATTAAAATTTCAAATTTATGAGAAAAATTAGCTGAATTGATCGAATTATGCCTAATATTCTTTATCTTCCAACAATCATTTTGAAACCAGTGAATTTTTTTCTTCGTTTCTATGTAGGTTTTTTTTCAGGAAACAATAGCATTCCGCCTGCTGCTATTGATAGACCTCGCGAAGTGCCAGTCGATGTTAAATTGCATATAATCGAAACTGCACGGAAATGGCCTTTGTATTTTTGCCGCTTTTATGGAGTAATCGAAGAACGTGATCATGAAAATGTCTACAGGATTATGGGAATAAGCGAATCTGGGATTCGACTAGTTTCACAGAATTTTGAGGATAGATATGAACCTTTCTGCATCACTGATCATTTTGAGTTAGAATTTCCTTCAGTTCAGTTTTTTCAATATTTTAGTATAAAAATTTTGAAAGAATGGTGCTTAGTTTTTATAGTTGCTGTATAAATTTAAAAAAAATTGCACAGGTCTTAGGCACAAATATTAAAAAATTAAGATATTGTGATTTTGCTGAATTACGAATTGATGGGCGAAATTTGATGAAATTAGTGACTCGTAAAGGACTTGTTGTTATCATAAGATCTATTCATGTTGATCAAATGCGAAATCTTATTGAACGGTATATTACCGGCAGTGGAAAGGTGATTTATTTATTCATTTAAATTCTTTAAAAAGTAATCAAAACTAATGATATTTTGATGTTCATCGATGCTTGAACGATTAAGAATTGGCGTAAGCGTTGATAATGAGTCGGTGAGATATAATGATATATGATGATATTCAACCATCGCATAAGTGAAAAAAATTTAATTCTCGATTATAGATAAAAACATTCGTGAAAGCAATCGCTGATTATATTACAAACGAACCTAATCTATTAAGTTTCAAAAAAGACGAAATTATACAAATTATAAGCCATAGTAGAAATGATCTGCAAAATCATTCAAATGATAATTGGTTATATGGTAGAATTGGAAGCAAATATGGAAATTTACCTGCAAATTATGTTCAATTCTTGGATTCTAATCCAGTAAGTTTTTTAAGTTAAAATTGGATTATAATACTGTTCAAGATGATAGTGTCCAAAATTTTTTCTTATCCTATTAATTACTGTTTGCATAATGAAATGTGATTTCTTCTAATGAACAATTTTATTTCTTGTCCTATTAATATTGTCTGAAGGAAAAGGAGCCATCAATTTTTTCAATTTAACATTCAATTCATTCATTTCATCCTAATAACTACCACTTTAAAATGAATAGTCATTAATTAAATGCATCGGGATTGATTAGTTGGAAGAATTGGGTCAACGCTGGGAATTCATTGTTTTTTCTAAGTATTTTGAATTTTAACTATTCCTAAAATATTTGGTTTCTATTTTCGACAAGATTTACGAAGGTGACGATATCTATTCCCGCCTTACATCTGTTCCCATTTATTTATTTCATATAGGCTTTGAATGAAATGTATTTGATTGATACAACTTTACATTTGAATTTTTGACAAAACATGAAAAGAATTCGAATTGATTTCATTCGAAGTGATAAATGCCAAATTTCGAAAAATATTTGGATGAAGAATATTAGAATTTGATAGAGATCAAAAATAATTCATACACAGGTGAACGATTCGATTTCACTGATCAATTCCTTATCAATGACGCTGGATGAACAAGTTTGTTATCTTACTTTATAATTATTTAATAAATTTGAAAACATGAATTAAGGCAGATTTCATTTTTTAAAAATTTAAAAAAAGCAATTTAAAAAAATTTAGCTAATAATAATTTTAAAGGAAACTAAAAAATTTAAAAATCTACAATATATTATTTAGCATTTGCTTATAAATATATTATTATTAGATGCTATCTTAAATTTTTTTGCTTATCTTCCTTTTTGAATTTGCTTTTGTGGGATAAATGAAATTATGGATTCTACAACTAAATAAATTAAATAAAATAAAAATAAAATTATTGGCAATTAATTGCTGTATAAATATTAAATGAATTTTAAATAGTGTTGTTTTTAAATATATAATGTTGTTTTTATTTGATTCCTTGCAGATATTTCATTAAGAAAAGAAATAGAATTAGGCAATGTTTTATTCGTCGTAAGATATATGGCTATAATTATAAGGTCATGATGCCGTTTCGATGAACTCGATAGTTAGCAAATATGGCATCGGGGTCCAGTGCACCAATGGAGAACGTTTTCTTCATTTTGCCGAAGAGTATGAGCTCTTTGTTACCAATATATACTTTCGGCATCGGAGGAAACATCTAATCACGTGGAACTCTCCGGACAATATTCCAATATTCCAATTAGACTGACCATATATAGGCCAGTCACCGCTGGAAGAGTTCTGTACCTGATAGCCGTTCTTATCGAGGCATCATGACCTGAAACTGGTAATGGCTATGGATTAAATGATGTTATGTTTCGAGCCAAGATTCGTATAAAATGACAAATCGTACGAAACAGCCTATCCCAAGATTTTTCAACTATGCTCTCAAATTAAAAGATCCGGGAACGATAAGTGTTCAAGCCTTAGTCGTCAATGACATCTCTGGAAAGGCGATTGAATGCTGGTCCCAACTAAAAACATGCCACTTCCACACTAGGGTATACTAGTAGGAGATGCACTAGTTGGGTGTCGGAAGCAACTATCTGACTATCAAGTGCTTCGAAAAATTACAACGACAGCAACACGGCGGGACAGGATAGAAATATCCTAACTATATGGCCATGAAAATGGAGACGGCGATTCGGATAGGTGGTAATAGGAAATTTTTTCGCCTTCTCCGCAAAGCAACTATAACTCGAGAAGATACGGGTCAAGATACGGGATATTAATGGGATGCCTATTAAAGCTTAAGGATCGCCTCAGAAGATGGAAAGAATTTTTTGAGGACAAAATTTTCTTGAGTATAAAAAGCATTTAGTGATCTGTCGAGCAAGGAGAGAATTTTAAAACGAAATTTATTATCAAGCAGCAGCATTACTACCACCACTGTTATCTTCATCATCACCACGTTGCCCCATATATTATAACTGATGTATCCACCCGATTATAACTGATTTGCCTGTCGGTCCTTACGTTTGTAACTATGAGCCGCCAACAGAAGAGGAAATTGTCTCTGTAATCCATAAGCTTAAGACCAATAAAACTACTGGAGAAGATGGTCTCCGCGCCGAATTCTTCAAATGTTGTCCATCATTGTTCATAATTTACCTTTAATAAATATATTCTCTGCTATAGTAAAAAGAAATAATACCAGAAGACTGGAGCAAAACAATTCTGCTTCCAGTTTCTAAGAAAGGTGGCAGGATGTACTGCGACAATTATTGAGGAACCAATCTGATGGATATCTCCGGAAAAACTTTCGCTTCCCATCTGCTAAATAGATGGCAATACGAGATAACACAATGCGTCCTAATCAAGCTGGATTCAGAGCTGGATACCGGGAGCGGTTGTGCTGGCTAGACATTTACGCTAAGAAGGGTGCTGGAACATCGCTTCAAATACCGACAACTACCCATCACTTCCTTTATCGATTTTGCTGCTGCCTTCGATTCAATTGATAACAACGCTCTGGAAAGTGATGGAATGTCCCAAAGATCATTCGGCTAAAGACATTTTATCAGCATACCCTGGCGCAAGTTTATGTATATGGGGAACTGACAGACTTCTTCGAAATAAAAACTATCCATCAGGGGTACGTCCTTCTTCCCCTTTCTTCTCCCTTCTTCAATATTCAATTATGTTATAGACTGGATAATGAGCGTCGCTTGTCTGCACTCAAGAAGTGCGCGAATCAATCCAGAGCATAGCATCACAGGCCTTGAATACTCTGATGATGTAGTTCCTTTTGTTGATACTTTCAATGAAATGCATTGAACAATGTGACAAGAAATGGTGAGAGCTGTGAGAAGAAAAGAGGAATATGGCTATAATTTAGATAATAAAGATTTCTTTTATGGAGAGAATAGTTTTATGAAAAAATTTGTTAAAACTGGATAAATTCGACCATAATTCACTAACAAAAACATTTTTCAAATTTCAAATTTTCTCATACAAGTGTTTTCTTGATTGGCGTTCAGTCATAATCATAAGTTGAAAAACAAGCGTGCTTAAATTTATTGTAGCAAATGACTTTGAACAGTCATTAAATAATCTTTTGCAGGCTGAATTTTTCAGTTTTCTTATAATGAAAATTTCATGATTGAAAATATGAAGTGGAGAAGGGATTATAAATCAGCAGCGATAGTTAGGAAAATTCAAATAATGATCAATCAAATATTCGCTATCTTTTTACAATAGAGTTACTACTAAGACCTAGGGTGTAAAAAGAAGACCGCTACGTAGAGTTTTAATTCTAGTCAAGGGCATTTGAACCTTTTTAGTTGATCCTTGTGATAAACTTGTGATTAAAACCACTAGTCGCACGAAAAATATTTTTATTTTGCACCAAGCAATTCTACCTTTTTTCTTTCCAAGTTCCATCGTGAATCTGATTTTTTTAAATCCCAAATTCCCAGTTTTTTATTTCACATTCTATTTTTCTTTCCTTACATACGGTCCCATTGATTGCTCGAAAAATCTTTTTTACTAAAAGGATTGTTAGGAATGGAAGAACAAGTAGATCATCAGAGCCATTCAGATTATAGGAATAAAGGAACTTCGGTGAGAGTTCCATTTCAAATGTCTTAAAGTTGTAAACAACGGGAAAAATGGTTAAATTTTTTTGAAAATGAAAATCAGGTGGAGTGAATCGGAATGAATCCCTGAGTAATTCTTATGAATGATTGCACATTTTCAATAAGTTATTACAGTTCCGATCATCATTTTCAAATATTTCCATTTTTCAAGCACATATTAATAAACGAACAAATAAATAACAAATAAATAGGATTTATTAAAATTCACTTTTTAAATGAATTAATGAATTTATGTGGTTGAATAATGGAATTAAAAATAAAAACAATAAGCCATTTTTTGGCGATCTGAATTGAATGACCTTCTCAAAGGTTATTATGAAGAGGTTACAATTAACAGATAAGATCAATGACCGAGCATTATCCCGGTTCAGTCTTTTTCATTTCAATGAGCAATATAAATTTTTGATCCGTTTTTTTTCGTAAATTTTCCAAGATTTTACAGCTTTTTGAAATTCATTTTCAATTCAATTTTAACAAAATTTATAGTTTAAAAAATAATTGTATAACGACCGCTCGAAATTTTTTGTTCGTCTCATAGACCTATGTTTTTGCATTTCTTTTTGATTTTTGTTAGACTTATTATTATCTATCGATTTAGTTGTACGTTATATATTATTCATATTATTTAGTCATATATTAAGATGATTGATTTGGTATGTTAAAAGATATAAATGTTTTATGGCCTAAGATTACTGAAAAGGGCGTTTCTAGTCAGTTCTCTTCTAGCCAACAACTGATATGTACGATTGACGACTTCAACCGGTTTTGATACCGCAATCAGTTAACACAACACTAACGACATTCTTCTTCTTTTCTCGATTGTCTTCAACATTTTATTCATTCTGCAATGATTCTTATTTAGTCATTATTATTATTACTATTATTATTATTATTCGTCTTATTATTAGCTCCTTACAATAATTTCGACAATAATCGGAAGCATCGAAAATGTGTCGTAATGATTTCAATCGTAAATTGTTATGGTTATCCTAGAACTTTTTTTCAGTTCAATAAGAATTCGAAAATTTCTATAAACGGAAAAGAAATTTTGCAAATATTTATATTCAAAAAAACCCATCTTTTATTCGCTACTTACTTTCTGGTTTATCTTAATGCTACTTACTAATCAACGGCCTCAATCCTACCAACCTCGAGTAATAACATCTCAGCCAAGTCCGGTTGGCAGAGCAAATGGAAGTAAACATCAAAATTATTTTTCTGAACGAAGACATAATCTTCCTTATCGTTCTCGCTCATTAGATACGGAGCAAAGATATATTGACGACGATTTTAATTACGATGATGATGATGACTGGAGACACATCAAAAACGTCGTGCAAAATACTACAAAACGTGTTTACAACTACCAGCCCTATATTAGTTCACAAGCAACAGGAGTTAGACCACGAGTTTATTTAAATGAATTTTATTATCGCCAAAATAAACCATCACCACGTTTTGTTGATGAAAGTGAATGGTATGCTTTGGATCGATCAATTCAAAATTATCGTGATGAAATGAAAGTAAAACCAAAATATTTTAGCCCAAATAGAACATCAGGATCATCGCCGAAATCAGATGCATTTTTTAAGCGACCCTTACGGGTCACATCGTTTTTAGATCGAGGTCGAACTGTAATGAGGCCCTTGACACCGGTGATTCGACTGTCCGATAAGCGAAAGGATAATTTGATTCGTCGACATTCTGTTGACTATATTCCTAGTAGTATGGAGTATAGAAGAATAAATCAAGGAGAAATCGTTGCTGATGGACGAAATTCGTATTATCCAAGATGTTACGATGCGCGTGTTCATACTGGTAATATGGATAATATCTACTATCAGCAGGAAAATGCATCACGATCACCAAGAACAATAGATGCTTTCAAAAATGAACGAAGCATTTTTAACAGACAGTATGGTGAACAAAGATTCTACAAAATACACTGTTGTTGTTTTAGTTTTCGTTGGCCACCATGTGTATTTGAAGAAGTTGCTCCACCACAACCAATGTACAAACATAATTGACATAGATTTTCTTCGCTCTAATTTATTTAATAGGACTGATGTGGACAAATTATTGTGTAATCATTGATTAATTATATCCTGTAATCTATATATTTTCCATTTCGGTTCGGTTCGGTTCCTTGTAAAGTTCATTATCACCTAGAAAAAAATTCTACTACTCATTTGCTTTTCAGAATCAGACAATACCCTTATATATATTCTTCATTGAATCATTGATCCAAGAAATAGTTTCATGCATACCATCATGCATTTATTCTTTCATTCTAATTGTGCCTTTAAGAGATTCTAATTGCAATTTTTTAATTTAGAAAATTGTCTTTCAAATTTTATTTGGTTTAAAATTTTCTTATAACTTATTTTTTCTTTTCATTATAATTGTTGAAGTTCATTTAATATTTTAGTAGCGATTAAATTTTTTTTTTAAATCATTGAGAAGATTTAAATGGTTTTTCATTATTATTTTTTGTAGAATATTATTTTTGGTTGTAAAATTTTTTGATTAAAATATGAAAAAATTAGTGATTGCAGTCCGTGAAAATAATAGAAAATAGTTAGAGTTAACATTTAAGTGGAAATTTTTTGATTTCTGCTGTAGCGCAAATCCTTTCACTATTGAAACTACTTATCTTGGTTGCAATAAGCAAATAATTTCATAACTCTGGAAATAATTGCAATAATTAAACTTTACCGTGATTTTACGGTAGAATTATGTGATTTATCATAATTTTTCATTAGTAAAATTTTATTATAAAGCGATAATAGAAAATTATCAAATTAAAATTCAATCATGAAAATTCTCGTTATGATATGTATGGATATGCATGCCATCATCGTCTTCTTTATGATAGTTTTGTAAAAATTAAAAATGAATTTTAATAAAAACTGATAATTTCCATTATGTTTTTGCACCAAAACACTACAATATCTCACTACTATACTATTTATTATCGAATTAAATTAAACTTATTTGCGAAAATTGAAATATTTTTAGAAAAATTCGATTAGAAGTTTTAAAATTTGATGCATATGAAAAGCATAAAAATCCTTCTTTCTCAAATGATTTTTTGCTTACTTAGTTTTTTTAGCTTTTCATGAAATGATGTAAATAAAATATCAATTGCAACTAGCATTTTTACAAAATTTTTGTTTTTTTGTTGCCATAACCGGTTATTTCTTGCATTCTTCCAGGTTTTAAGCATGTAAAAAAAACTGTAAATCAATTTATTTCCGAATTCTGAATTGCTGTGCTGATATAATTGAAATTTTTACTTGAAAAAAAAAAACAAAAATTAAATTTTGCAATTTGATTAAATTAAATTTCTCAAAATAAGTGGTTAGCATTCATCATTTTTGGTTAAGCTCGTTACGCTTGCTGTACGATAAGAAATTTATGCTGTGAAACCACCCAGCAATATAAAAACGCTTGTTAGGTCGCCACTACCACTCGGATTTTTTAATGGCAAGCTTACTCATATAGGAGGAAGAACTGAGAGTTCTCCCTTTCAACATGATCTGGGCCTGTCCAATAACTGAAATTGCATTCCATGAAATGAAAAGTCAAATATATTATATTATACTATACTAAATTTTCATTATTTTTCTCGCATAAAAATTTGAAAAACGGTTAAATTGAAGGAATTTATCGACCATTCTCCACTTGATAATGAATTTATGAATGGCAGCGAAGGCAAATTTACGATGATGGAATTTGCTATGCTTTATTTCCGTCGCCCAAAGAATATATCAAATGTCGGAGATTCTTTAACTACACAACGCAAAAGTGCGATTTCATTTTCCATCTTCTCCTAAGATTTAAAACTGAAATTTTTTAAAAGTTTTGTAATTAAACTTGAAAAAATATATAAAATTATGTTTAACTGTATTTGCTTACTCGATTTTGTGGTTTAAAATAACTATTAATTATGCTTTTTTAACGATTTCTTCCTTTATTTCGAAAATTTTTGGACTCTCTTTTACTTCACTTACGCTTATTTTATCTCTGTCAAATAGCGAGTAAAAGTTAATAGGTAACTGTCTCTTTTAAAACCATAAACTATTTTCTACGCCCATTGTATTGAGTGGTATTAAAGAATGATACCTATTGCATATTTAAGTGATTATTTTTAAGGCAGAAAATTCTTTAAAATTTACAATTATATCAGTAATAACAAAGCAATAAATTTAAATAAAAATATAGAAAAAGAATGGACATGGAAAGATATATCGGATAAAGTGAAGTATACGGAACGACCAATATCGCATTCACTGCTTAGGCTGGATAGTAATGAAGCAGACAAATTGGCACAAGATGCATTTTTATGTTCGTTGTCGTCTTTTTTATTTCAATTTTTTTTAAAGACATTACCATTAAAGACATTAAAACTCGAAGTATTAAATTCTTATAGATCTAAATTATCCAAAATTATATTAAAGCCATATTAGGTATAATGCGATATATGGGTGATGAAAATTTAAAAAGAGGACAAACATTCACTGACTGTGTATATGAATTACTTATGATATGTCATCAATATCATGCACTACGAGATGAAGTTTATTGCCAAATTATACGACAAACAACGAGTAATAAAAGCTCTCGGTATGGTTTAATAAGAAATAATATAATAATAAAAAAGAAATAATAGTTGTAAATATGAATAATGGGCAATCGCTCTTTATTATGATATTAAAATATGCATTCAGCCAAAAGGATTCTCCCTTCAGTGAATATTTAATGTAAAAAGGATAGAAACAATCTTTCGTTGACTGGTACTGGAAGAGCTGAGCTAACTCTTAATTCTTTTGTAGTTCTTCTATATTGGTTAGGCTGATTTCGCTGATTAAGGCGTTCTCAAGCTATCCACCCTGACGTCATCGCTCTTAAAAATGGAAGCGCATTTATTTTTCCATTGTTTAAGTAGTCCATATATCGCTGGTTTCAAAATCTTTTTTGACTGGATCAGTCCAGGTCTTGACTGGTCCTCCTCGCTTTTGACGCCATTCATCCCAGGATTTCACAAGTTTCGAAATATATGTCAACTACAGCAAAGGTCGATGCAATCATGCACGATTTTATCCGCTTGGTGATGAGATACTGTGGTGAGATTAGACATGAATGGTTAAGAGCAAATATTTTCTTAGCAGATTTATGGTGATTTCGAGATAGCTCCATAAGGACTTCGTCAGCCGGAAAACGCATTTCTAGCTATCATTACACATAGCTCTTTTGTAGTTATATTAATGTTTTAGATCAGACAGCTTGATTCGTGGATGGCGATTGTTTTCGATTGTAACTGCGTATTTCGACTGTTCTCAAGTACTAAAACCATATTTATTCAAGCATCTGATAGAAATGGCAAATGATTCGAGAAGAGCATATCATGGTAATCATAATAATTAAAAATAATTAATAATGAAGAATTTTAGAGTCCTTCCAAACTTTGTTCCAAACTTTGTTGTAAAATAATTTCTTGGATTTTTCCGATCAATATATTAGGAACAAATTACTGATATCTGATTTCCTTGGTATCTCATCTGTACTTTAAAAAAATAAAATGGAATTTCTTAAAAATAGAAATGATTCAACTCGACAAGCTGAAAGTTTTTATAATTAATAAAAAATATTCTTGCCTGAAGAACTCCTCTGAAAAATAAATTCTCAGATCTCACAAATTCTTGATTAAGGTGCTATTTTAGGTACCGCTCATATTTGTCTGCAGAATCTAGCAAAAACATTTAAATATGGTGGAAGAAAGTTTTTATTGAGTGGACGTGAAGTTGAAGCTATCACGGTATTATTCAATTCATCACATCTCATAAACTTAATTCCTTTTTTATTAGTCCTGATTTGCCTTTATTTTTTTTCTAGACTGGCAAGAATCTGAAACGACAGCTTTATCATTTACCAGGTGGCCATAAGAAAGTGGTAAATACGAAAGCAGTAACTGTAGTTGAAGAAATTATTCAAGAACTTTGCTTGGAACTTAATATTCGAAGTCCAACTGAACAGCAGGAATTTTGCTTATGTTACATACTCGAAATTGGTCTAATTTTTGAAATTAATTAGCACTGAAATTGTCGATTATTTAATTTGTTAGCAATGTTTTAAGAATGTCTGGAAAAGATTCCATACATTTCAAAAGTTGCCCGTACGCTTACTTAACGAACTAGGTCCAGGTCGCGCAAAAATAAGAACTTCTGCCCTAACCAGTAGAAACAAAATCAGATGGAGAAAATAAGATTCTGCTATTTTTTTAGAAAAAATTCTGTTTCTTCTCACTATTAATGGTTAAACTGGCTCCGCTGGCTACAAGATTTTTCCCAGCTGTTCGATTCGATGTCATCGTTGATAGTAATAAAAGCCATTCTTTTTACCATCGTTTAAAGTCCAAATATTACTGGTTCATCAATACGTTTAAAGTCTTTCCTGATTGAATTAGTTCAGGTCTTGATCGGTCCTTCCCGCTTTTGACGCCATCCATCACAAGTAACGAAATTTAGCAAGTAACGAAATTTATGTCAACTGCTGTGGAGGGCGATGAAGAATATCTTCTAACGAGCGAAGACGATGCTCTTTGATGGTATTGTTAATGCAAGTGATACTTGAGTGAAGGTAGATGCGGTCATGCGAAATTTTATCCATTCGGCTGAGCCGTAAAATATTTCTTAAACATGAGTTGTCAAAGGGTCAAATGAGTTGCCAATATCTATTTTCTTTCTCCATTCTCTTGGCCATATCTGTTATCCTTAAGATTGGACGAATTGCGATTATAAACATTGACATTAGTATTTATGCCCGCAACGGCTCCATAAAGGTTTCGTCACTGGAAGAAAGCATTCCTGTCCGGGTTGTCCACAACTATCGAGGAATCATCCCATCTCTAAGACAATTATCGATTCCCTCTTACTATATGGCAGCAGCATAACCAAGATTTAGAGTGGGATGCGCTTGTGCTGACCAGATATTCATATTAAGAAAGATGTTGAGACATAGCTTCAAACATCAGAACAAATCCACCGTCACATTCATTATTTCATTATTTTGCAACTACCTTCGATTCAATTGATAAAGCAGCGTTAGGGTGATGAGCCAGAGAAGATCATTTAGCTTATAAAGGTATTTATAAAGGTATTTTACCAGGGCATATCGGCACAAATGTATATGTATATGGGGAACTGATAGACCCTTTCGAAATAAAAATTGGTTTCTGGCAACGATGCGCCCTTTCCCCTTACAATATTCAACTATACAATAGATTGGATTGACACAGCTTGTCGCTACTCAAGAGATGTATAAATCAGCTCAGAGATCACAGATGTCACAGATTTTAAATAGCTGATGATGTAGTCCTTTTTGTTGATAGTAGACGAAATAGAAATAATACTGAACAATGTGTCGACAACTGTAGCGAGAATCAGGATCAATGTGAATAAAAATCAATAAAAAATTAAAAAAATGAAAGCTATGTATGCGAAACCGACAAAATACCTATTTTGATCAATTCATTGCCAGTTGAGAAAGTTAGACTTTAAATATTTTGGATCCACTCTAATCCCAAACGGCCAAGCGAAATTGTCATGGTCTGTCCTGTTCTTGTCACCTTTCTTAGAAATTGGGAGCGAAATTGCTTTGCTCCAGCCGCCTATTATCTATTTTTTCCATACAAGCGAGTACATTTGTTGAAGGTGTGATATGAAAGATGGTGGACACTATATATATATATATATATATATTATAAGATTATATATATATAAAATTTTTTTAAATATATATATAATTTAATGTATATAATTTATTTAATTTATAATTTTTTTCTAATTCTTCGTTTAAAATTTGTGAAACTTTAAAAGAACTTAGCTTAACCAGAAATAAGTAAAAAAAATTAGCATCATGGGACAGAAAACGACCGCACAAGAAACTGCGAAAATAAAGCATTTTTAGAGAATATAATGAAACTTCTTTCGAATGATGAATATATACTTGATATATGTACTGAACTAGAGCATAAAAAGAAGGAGTATTTTTTATTGTTGAAACGAACAGTTTGGATTCATCCTCTTCGATTAGACAATATTCTATATATCGACGTTATGTTCTTCCAGGTTTAGTTTTTTTAGCATAAAAAATCGGTTTTTCTTCAAATATTTTTTTGGATTAACTTCATTAACTCCGCTATATTTGTTAAATTTTTTTAACCCACAATTTCTCGTTTGGGTGGTTTCATTAACTATTTATTTTCACCAGATATTAGGAAATAGAAATGTAGGAGAATCTTAAAGTGCCATTCACGTTTTAATTCTAATGGCAGTTTTACTTTCTTCAAAAGATAGGAACTATGATGCTTTAAAGCAGTATACATCTCGATTTGTTAATAAAATATATTTTCCTAATGAATTAATGAAATAATATAAGCATAAGCATAATAAATTTTAACAAATTGTAATAAATTTTCTACTCATTTTCATTATTTCTTTATTTCATTATTTCTAACATAATTTAAAGAAATTGTTTTTTTGTTAATTTTTAGATTGTCCCAGATTATATCGAAGGTTTACTGATCGCCCCTAAACCAGCAACTTTAAGTGCTGCATTCCTGGTACTTTTTACTTTTTACTTTTTCTTCATTGGCTTCAATAGCGTTTTAGATATATAATGATAATTTAAATTCAAATTGCTAAAATTTATTTAAATTTTGCTATATGCGGAGATTTTCTTTTAAAATTTTTTTTGGGATGAATAAATTGGATAAGAAAATTTTTTATATATCATAACTTATATAACTTATATATATCATAACTTTAGATGTTTTCAGACTGTATTATAACTAATTCCTTTATTAATTCTCCTCATCACTTATGTGGAAATCATATTACATCTCTTGATAATGAAATTTTAGAATAAATAATAAATAAAATAAATTTTTTCTTGTTTAGAGCCATGCCCAATGAAATTAGTCGATCACAAAGATTCATCTTAGTGAAACAATTGATTCCACACATTCATCCATGTGAAAAATTCTATTTTTAGGAAGAAGTTTCATTTATTGGTGCTTTGCTTCATCTTTCTGATTGCAATGAACAAACAAAAGTGTCACCGTAAGGAAAATTTTTCTTGATATCATAAAGCTCATTAGATGATAGCAGTAATGTTTACGACATAAAAAAATTTTCTTCTCATCCTCTGTTGGTGCTTTGGGTCTGTCAGAGGCCTGGAAATTTTCTATAAATTCTATAAATAAAAGTTCTATAAATTTACCATGTATGCATTGAGGGTTCCTAGTAATGCGCTCGTCTGGAGAGATATCCTGTAATCCGTTGGAAACACTTTTTTCTAGCTTAGTAATCAGCAAATCAGCTCCTATTCCCCCTAGGACCATTTTGGCTTCCATTTTCCACATCTTCTCTGGCTTACATTTTTGCCTTTGGTATTTCTTTAATTTCTTCTTTCTTCCTGTCACTTGGTATTGCTGTATTTTTCATCATTATTAATTTCTGGTTCTTCTCTACTACCGCAACATCTGATTGACTTGTTTCACTGGATGGTAGAATCTCATGAGTTGAGGAAGAACTTGACCGTATTATTTTCCACGATTACTTTAGTTATTCTCTAGGGATCACCTTTGGCCTTGGGAATGCTATAGCCCATGTCTAAGTCCCTAGCACTTTCTCTGCTTAAACCAATGTCTACTATTGCTTCAGGCATTTTCTCAGCAGCTTATCTTATAGTATCACATTGTTGATGTACTGTTTCGTTCGAGATAGTGGCTTTGACACTCACCAAGCTTTATCGACCTTATTTCCTATGCAGTATCTTCCTAATAGTAAGCTCTTCTAGATGGAAATCTCTGATGTTCCTAGATTTTAAAGCCCCTTTCCTAGTTTAAGAGTCACAAGTGGTCCAATTTTCACTGGAATTTATTTTGGCCTTCCACATCTCTAGTTCCTCTTTCAACCCTTGGTATTTGTCCAATTTCTTCTTTCTTCCTGACGTTCCTTGGTATTGCTACACCTATTTTGAAAAAATTTGTAAATATTTAATTTTGGTCAAAAATGATCATTAAAATTATAGGAATTTATGGTTTATTTGGTTTACCTAAACTTTCTTTATAAATCTTTTCACAATTTTATCGATGAAAATTATCAGGCAAAATGCGATGAATTTATTGCCAAAGACAATAGTTACAATGCGATCCGGTGAACAATGGGCAGAACGAATCAACCATAAACTTTGCATGATTGATGCAAATATGAATTCTACTGAAGCACGAGCAAAATTTCTAGGTTCTTTTTTAGTTCAATTTTATTTAGACTGAGTGGCATCTTTTTAACTTACCTTACTGTTTTGTGTCGGTTCTTCCGATTCCCCCATCAAGATTCAAGGTGTTTTTGCATATGTTTTTTGGATTATATTTTTTATTTTTGAGGCATTTTTTATGTTTTTTAATTTTTTTTAAAGTTTTGACAGCGTTTTAATGCATTAATTGGGGTTATATTATCTAATATAATAATTAATAATAATAATTGATTATTCTTCGTTTGGACACCTCAAACGACAAGTTTTTTCGTTTGCTTTTCTTTATTCATTTAATTTTTCCACTTTATTCTTGTCTTCGACAGGAGTAAATTTGTCATACCAAATATCAAATATCTAGGTGGTTGCTGGGGATCCACCTGTAACTCTATCTCTAAGTGAATCTATGGTGAAAGATGCGATGTTCTTGACACAACATCCACGTCCTCCGATGCGCATATACTCCCATTTAGGTGGTACATGAGATAAATATACAATCCCTGCATAAAAGGCTTATAAATAAAATGTGCTCACAAACCAGAGCAATTAATCGAAACCTGTCAAGAGGAACGGCAACGGCTCTCTGTACGTGCAACGAGGTGTTAGCCGCAGCAGTTTATGAACATTGTAAGCCAAGTGATGTCCACACTCTTTCTAAATATCTTATGGATGTTACCTGTTTGTCGAGATCAATCTTTGTCACTTTGGATCTCGAGTAATTGTAAACCTAGCTCCGGGTAAAAGTATCAAAAGGGTAAATATACTAGCTATCATCGAGTTGTTTCGGATAATTCGAGGTGAAATGGCGATTATCATGTCTGAAAAAGCTCGATCCGCTTTAATTGAGTGGAAGCTAATAAATAACCGTATGGACGCGCATTTCAAAGGAAAAAAGAAAATTCTGTAATATTTCAATCATCAGTATATGCTCCAACTTTATGCGTTCTATGTGGAGCTTCAACTATTAACAGCATCTCTACCGAGAAATGACATGGTCGTAATCGGGGGAGACTGGAATGTGCGCGTAGGCGCCATTAGGATAAATTTGGTAATTGGCAAATATGGCATCGGGGTTTAGTGCCCCAATAGAACGCCTTCTTTTCCTTTTGCAGAACTGTTTGTTTCAAATTAAGGACAAGAAAATTTTTTTCTATCAATAACAATTTCTATCAATTGTTACTAATGCTGCCAACATCGTAGAAGACATCTAATCACGTGGAACTCCTTGGACAACCAAGACTTCAACCAGATTATATAGTCACCGTTGGAAGAGTTCCGTATTAGATTGTCGTTCCTATTGTGGCACTGAAACGAGCAACCATATTACAGTTCAAGCCGCGATCCGCACAAAATTGATAACCCGCAAAAAACAGCGTTCTTTCTCTAAGATATTTCAGCTATCACAAACCAAAAGATTCGTGGACAGTGAGGGCATTTCAAACCGAATTATTGAAACAGATTCAAATATCCATGATTTTTCTAGAACGGCTGATGAATATTGATCCCAGTACCGGAAATAACTGTCTGAAAACACTGACTGCCAAAGCATGAAGATCCTAAGATCGTGACTATCGGATGCTTCGAAGAATTACGATAGTAGCTCGGTGGGACAGAAATCGGTGGGACTATTAGAGCGATATGGCCTTGAAAATGGAGACGTGGTTCGATTAGTCGATAATAGGAAATTATTCAGTCTTCTTCACTATCGTCTTATAAAGCAGGAATTCTTTGCGGCTAAAAATAACCAAGATGCGCCATCTGTTCCTTCGCGCATAGCTGATTCGCTCATTGGACCATACGTTTGCAATTACAAATTGCAAAAACAAAAAAAAAGAAAACAGGAAATAATCTCCGTTGTCCATAAGAGCAATAAAACTCCGGAAGAAAATGGTCTCCGAGCTGAATTCTTCAAATCAACAACGCATATTCAATATATGTACTCTCTGGTATGGAAGAAAGAAATAATACCAGACGGCTGGAGCAAAGCAATTCTCCTCCAAACTCCAAAGACAAGTAGTAATTATCGAGAAATCAGCTTACAGATCAGCGAAAAATTTTGCTTCCCTTCTGCTCAATAGACTTATGGTAGCACGGGATGGCAGGATGGGATGGCCCTAAACAAACTGGATTAAGATTGGATTTAGATTCAAGTACCTATTTTACCTATTTTTATAAATTTTTTGCTGGTTGCTCAATTTTAAATACCTCGGATCCACTCTAATACCGAATGGCAAAAAACGAAATTGCAACTCCGATAAATAACGACTAGAAATGCTTTCTTCCGGTTGATAAATCTTTTATGGACTCGTCGCGAAATTACTATAAAGCTTGCGGGTATAGTCGCTAAATTCGCTCGATCTTGCTATACTGCCAGGCATGGCCACTGAGAGAGGAGAATATTTAGAAGATATTCTTTAACCACTCATGTCTAAGATCTTGTACATCTTATGGCTTCACTAAGCGGAAAAATTCTCACATGACTGCATACACCTTCACTCAAATACCAATTGTACGAACTATCATCACAGAAATCTTCGCTAGCTAGGTTAACACAAGTTCTTCATCGCACACCACAAGAGTTGATTTCGTTACTTGCTAAACTCTGTGGCATTAAAAGAGAGATGGACCACTCAAGACCAGGATAAAATTAGGAAAGGTTTTGAACAATTAGGAAAGGTACAATTGGACTAGCAATATACAGACTTAGGCGATGGAAAAAGGAATGGCTTCTATCACTGCCGACGATGGCATCAGACCGCGCCGTTTGGAAACATCTTACTCTTATAGCCGTTAGAGCCAGCCTAACAAGTAATGGTGGGCTGTTAGAAGAAGAAGAAGATGATGACTGAATGACTGAAATAAATTTTTATATTACTTATTCAATTGATATAACTGAATAATTGATTTTCAGAACTTCTTGAAAAATGGCCATTGTTTGCATCAACTTTCTTCTCATTGCGAAATGTCGTCGATACAGAGAAAGAAAGTGGCGAATGTTTGTTGGCCATTAATAAAAGAGGAATGGCTTTTCTAAAGCTGTCGTCTAGAGAATTAATTTTTGAATTCAGCTTAATGGAGGTGTGATGAAATTATTTTCCTTTGAAGTTGTTATACCAGCATAAGATTTATCAAAATTTCTAAGTAATTCTCATCATTAACCCCTTTAAAATTATTGCTTGAACATAATCTGAAACAAGTAAATTAATATATCAAAGAAATACAGATTTTATCCACAAATCGATATGCTATTGAAGACGGAATGAGACTTGATATTAAAGTTGGAAATGCAATCTCTCAAAAGACGATAATAATCGAAACTGACCAGGTGGAAATTTTAACCAATAAATTCTATGTTAGGTCATATTTGATTGATGCTAAATTTTTTATTTAAAAAATATCTTGCGTATTTTCGATCGTAAATACTTTAAACACAAATCACAATAGAGAGCAAAATAAATATTTATATTACATAAATATAGAAGCTTTTTTCTATTCTAAATCAATTTGCTAAAGATTTATTCAGGGAGGCGAGATTTCGAGGTTATTGGGACAATATATTTATGTAGACAGTGAAAATCGACATTTCCTGAATGCCGAATCGGAAAAGTGTTGAACCTCATTATTATTAAATTTCAATTCTCTTTTAATTTATACAAAATCTTGAAAAATTTATAGAAATAGGAAAATTACCTGTGGATTATGGCCTTCATTAATTTATTGATTGTTGAAACTGGATTTTATTTATTGTATTTGCTTAATTGAATTTTCTGCGTTAGGATTATTATTTTTGCAAATTTTTTGTCATGTCTACTCATAAATCATATTATGAATAAGTATTTATCGCATCATAATTTTGTTATCTATTTAATTCTATTAAATTTAATTAGAATTTTATTTTATTTTATTAAAATTTTATTATTTCAGCTTATATATCATGTCGTTTTATATAAACCTTTGCCTCTATGAAAGCTCTATTTTTGCAGAAAGATACGTTTAAATTTGGAACCAATTTCAACTATTAACTATATATATTATTTCATTGAACTATATATAGAAGAATATATAAGAAGAATATATATATATATATATATATAAGAATATATACATATATAAGAATATATATATATATATATATATAAGTATATATATATATAAGAATATATATATATATATATTATATTATATATAGAAGAACTGTGGTTTAAATCCCTTGAGTGGTTAAATATCGAAGTATTTGGTACTGCTTGAAAATTTTATCGAAAATCTGCGTCAGGATTATTATTTTTGCGCAAAAATTAATTTACAATTACAATTGTAATTTTGCCGGAAAGTAATATAAAAGTGCAGCAAAAGAGAAGTTTTGTTAATTTTATATAAAAAGAAAAACAATATCGTTTTATAACCTAAAATAAAATGTACTGAAAGTGCATTAAAAAAATATAGGGATTCCTCTATTAAACCGTTGACTCCATCTAAAAACCAAGTTTTCTTATTTTCCCATGTATTGCTTTTTACAACTTGGTAGCATCGCATTAATATTGTTTTATTGTTGATTTTTCTTCATTTGACAAAACCATGTGGTTTGGTTGGCGCTGACTGAATGAGTCCTTTCAGGAGAAAGGGAGTCAATTGAAGGTAAGGGCGTAGATCACCACCAAGGAACAGAAATCGAACCGATGATGCTTAGTCTTATCTCTAACACTTAATTCATCCATATTTAAAGTGGGGTTAGACCCAATTAATTTGAAGCACTACTCTCGAAAAAATTCACTATTGCTTATTGTGGTTTTTTTAAATCTTATATTTTAAATCATTTCAGACTTTAATTCTTAAAATAGCTATATATCACAATGCGATATTGCTTCCCTTTTAGAATTTCTAGAAGCAAACTTCTACATATCCCATATATTTTACAAATTATCTCCTAAATGATCTACCATTTTATTTCTTTATTGCAATTAACATATCGATTTTTCAATTCGAATAAATAAATGGAAACACAAATCACCTATCAATTTTTATTTTTATATATGCTATGACAAAATGAAACCGAAAAGTGATAAAAAATTTTAAAAAGTGATTAAAAATCAAATTTCGAGAAAAATTGATTTCTGCAGCTGGAAATGTTGGTTAATTTTTACCTTCTAAGAAGTATGTTATACATTCGCCTTTTCCCTAAAGTAAATTTTTTAAAGTCTTATCATACGATTTTTTTTACAAGCATTTAATAATTATAAAAAAGAAAAAGCTAATTAAAAGAAAAAATATACCTTTACTTCCACTTTTCCTCTCTCATTAATCTTGAATTGTGGAAAAAAACAATGCAATAAATTAAAAGACTGTTCACTGATCTAAAAGTAAAAAGTTAACTATTTTATTGATATTTTATTGGAACAATTAAGTAAGGGAAAAATAATGGTAACTCAAGACTTGTTATTGATTAGAAAGGCGGAAGAAAAGCAACAAAAGCAACAAATAGCAAAGGCTTCACAGAATCAGTTTTAAATTGTCCACCTGGATTTTGTTTGGAACGCCTGTACTTTCCATGCGTGATGCTGTATTTACTGTATCACCAAAGAGACAATATCTTGGGGCAGCTATTCCTATAACACCTGCTGCAACTGATCCACTGTGAAATCCAATTCGAACCATGAGTTGTTCATCTGGTTTGTGCGCCAGTTTGAAATTGGCTACGAACTTGAAATCAATCAAGTTTTGAGCTAATGGACGAAATTGCTTTGTTATACGAAAAAATATTTCAAAATATGATGGAATTCCCTCTAATTGATTTCTTCAACGGTTTTAAGTAATAAATTAGTAATTAAATAACAAACGCAACAGCATTTTTCAATTTTGTCCTATCTTTCAAATATGGTTGGTATTCGGTATTTCGCTTCTTTTCTCAATACTAATATTGCTTAATGCCACTGCGCTCAAAAAAACAATTGTAATAAGTTCTGTGGAGGGAGAAGGCAAAGGGAGAGGTTTTAAAGAAAGCTAAATTTATGGTTTAAAATATTCAAAGAACCAACATCTCTCATTTTTATTGCAACATCTGCAATATTTTGCACATGTGAATTGCCGTTCTCTTTAGGAAGACCCGAGACTACCATATATGCATCTCCAATTGTTTCTACCTAAAATTTACATTGCAATGCCAAATAAGCCAAATTTATGCTTTTCTCTATTTCTCTTTTTTTTATTTTATGATGAAATTCAAATTGATTGCAATGACCTTTGTCCAAAGCAATGAAAGAAATGCAACTTACGGTTACAATTAGAACGCAAAAAACACCTTGTAAGCATCATGCTCAGCAATAATTGCATCGAATCCTGAGAAAAGACTATTAAGAAATGTAACGATTTGAAATGGTGTTGAAGTAGCCGAAAGCTTCGTGAATCCACGAATATCTGAGAATAAAACTGTTGCACTTGGATATAACTGAGGTGGTACATTTTTCCCGACTTTTAAATCATCAGCAACTGATCTAAAAATTTAATCATTTGCCACATTAGCTTACCATTTCTGTTTAAGCTCACTCCTCTCGCTGTTAGTAGAATCGGAAATTTTTGTCAAGGATTTTTTAATAATATGTAGGAGTATCCTGACAGAAACAGAATATTTGACTTCATCCCGATTTATTTTTAAGAGTTTGAACACAATTAAATGTTCATTTGAATTATTCTAATTCATCATCTTCATTTTGCTAACCTCGGCAGCATGTTATACAATAGTTTATCTGCTTGTTGCTGTGCTTCCTCCAATAAAGCCGTTCTATCTTTAACCAGCCCTTCCAAATTCGTTGTGTACTAAAAATTTAAGCAATCTCGAAAGATCCATTTCCTGTCTATTAATTTCAATTTAACGTTAACGACTATCAAAATAAATATTAACCTCTTCCATCATTTTGATCATTTGATCAACAAGCGATCCTCGTTCTCTAAAAATTTAAAATTTATAAATTTATAAAAATTTATAATTTATAAAAATTTATCATAAAGTGGTTTCAAATCGAGATGAGAAGAGGGAAAATACAGAAGGAAAGAAATACCGCATAAAAACAATACAACAAATTTTGAAAATTTTTTGTCTTACGTAGATTTTAGGTTAGCATTGACGATCACTTTCATTTTTTTTGCAGTGGGCCTCATTTCTGCTAATTCGAGCCAACAGGCCTTAAATATTAAGTATAATCAATAAACATATACTATAATAGGATTTGTAATAACCCAATTGAAAGTGTAATTGTATGGCCCAACGTTTCTCATAGTTCACACTGTTGAATTGAACTTTTATTCACCATATCACCACATCTTTATAATAAAGAGTTTAATCGATAACCACTTAACCTCTAAAGCACTAAGTAACTGAAGATTATAGCCCTCTTCTGACGAAATTTCTGGAAATGTAGGTCGAATGCATTGATCATCTTCACTACACATAGCAATTTTCTCCAGTAATTCTATAAAAATTGAAAAATTTTGAGAAAATAATAAGATTAAAATATCGTTTTTCGACATATATTTCATGTATTCAGCATTTATTATAAAACTGCGTAAAAAAATTTGAAGAAAAGCTAGCAGCAATGTCGATGTTAGCCACAAAAATTTACGTCATATATAAATTTTTTTCCAATTTTATTCTTTAAAGTGGAACTTGTGGAGCTCCACTTTATACAATCTTCCATAGCTATTGCCTAAAAATTTGAGTTTTGATAAGACAGCTCGCTTGATTTGTATTAAAATATTAACGCTTGTTAGTCATAAATTTGATCTCACAATTATTGCTGAAGAAAATTTAGATAAATTTAGATAAATTTAGAAGAAAATTTAAATTTAAAGTTAAAAACCTCTTAGATTTTAACTTCCATAGTAGGTTAACAGCAAAAAATTTATCCAAATCTTACACTGTTTCAAATTAAGAACAAGAAATTTATTTCAATCAATAACAAATTCACTGGGAGATAGAATGGATCACTGGGTTATTGCTACATTCGCTGATATTTCTACTCCCAGAAGTAAATCCGTCCAAAAATCCTGATGATGTGGGCGATTCACCTATAAATCTGCCTCTAAGGGACTCTCTGGCATATTTGTCTAGTACGTTATATCGATAAATAAATTAGCGAGTCTATTATCGTATGTTACTCCCACTGGTTCGAAAAATCCATTGAGCTATCGAACGATGCTGCAGAGGTGCTTTAAGTTGAATAGAATGAATTCACTTTCTATTTATTATTGAAATAAAATTCATTCAGTTAAAATTTAAGATTTTATAGGGGCAAATCAGAATTGATTGCAATAGATAATCTTAGGCTCAATTCAAATGTATTGAATTAGTGAAGCCTCAATATAAGACCCAATTAAAAATCACAATTCTTAATTCGCTTTCTCCTTTATTAATAGCGTGGTAAGTATTCTCAGTGAACAATTTCAGAAGGCAGGTCGTCTGGTCAATTATAGGTTTATTTATAGTGAAAATTTAATGTCATATCAATCTGTATTTACACAAACACTTATTATTATTAAATTTTTCCTTTTTTTATAATTTCTATTTTTATATGAAACAATTTCTGTCGTTCTTTCTTCAGAATAATTATGTCAGAACATAACGACCGCTTTGCCTGCTTTCATTGTATACGAAAATAAATAAATAAAACATCTCTTTTCTGCCCAAGATTTTTAAATAAGAAATTCGTATGAAAAATTTAAAATAAAATAAAATTTATTTAAAATGAATAAAATTAGGTAATTTGTTTGATATTCATCTCACTTTCTCTCGTTCGTTCGTAAAATGGTTCAAGTCGGAATAAAATTTGGTATAAGATCATGCCTAGAGCGTAAATATCAGCAGCTTGAGTCGGTTTTGGTAATTCTTTAGTTGTGAGCAAAACTCGGATTACTTCTGGAGCTTGCTGTACATATTCTGAATTTTTAATATTTTTAAATTATTTATATTCATTTACTTTTGTCTACACTTGTCTATACTTGTTAAAAAATTTGTCTTTATCAGTTTTTTACTGAATTTAATTTAATAAATGTTCACATTATTTGAAAAAAAAACAATTTAACAAGATTCATATCACAATATAAATTTCTAATAATTTAATTTCTAATAATTTTTTAAATATTATTTTCTTTACTTTTGAAAGATGCATTTTCATTAATTGTATTCTCATCATCTTCAACTCGTTTTATATCGTTTGCATCCAATTTTTCATTGATCAGAGCATGCAAACCATAATTAGTTAATTTTATATTCCAACTTGAATCGACAAGACAATTTTGCAAGCAAAGGAAGCCATGACATTCTATTTTAGACGAATGTAGAAATAAAAGTCCCTAGAAAATTGATTATCGACAGCAATTGGGATCACAAAATTTTACAAGTATAAACCACTTGAAACACTTCTATTTATTTTTTAATTAGTCTTTTTGAATAAAATGATCAGGACCAATTATCTGTTTCCTTCACCATAAGTTGTTCCTCAATTAGTTGTTTTATAGTAATTGAAATAATTTATTCTAACGCGGTAATCATCTTTCTACAGATTCTATCATTTTTCGAATTTTTTAATAATTTATAATTTTACTGGTTTCAGAAGTTTCTGAGCAAAGGCTTTTTTACCTTTACAACATCTTTTGCGAAAGAAACTTGAAAATTCCTTCCCAATTTCAGATCGGAGTTGAAAAGAACGTCCTAAACAAGTAGTTATTATCGGCATGTAAGCGATATATCTTATGCAACATTAAAGAACAGATAGAACTATTAGTCCTAACTAGCGTAAGAATGCATCTGTGTGAAAAAACTTTAAATATGAATACTTCAAGAGTTCCACGAGGTACAAACGTCCACAGTATGAATAATTCATTTTGTTGGTTAAAACATATACCATAAAATTTGTTCAAATTGTCGTTCTCGATCGTTTTTAACTGAAATAGACAAAACTTTTTTATAGACAAAATTTCTGGGGAAAAATGATTTGATTTTAGAAAGACAATGAGTAAGAGCTCTCCTTCCGCTTCCTTTCTGCTGATGTCATCTAGATTTCGAATGTTTTCAACAGTATTCAATCAAATGACTGCGGTAGGAGGTTTAAAGGCGCACAAAAAAAATTTTTTCCACAGAAATATAGATTTCTTATAGCACCGACAAAAATTACGAAGTAAAAGTAACATAAAAATTTTAAAAAAAATGAATATGAAAAGAAAATATAAAGATAATATTTAGTATATATATATATTTAGATAATAAAAATATATATTTAGAATTTTCGTAATTTTCAGGACCTCTTTTAATAGTCGCAAATGATTTTTCGAAAACGAAATATTCTTTAATTGAATAAACTTGATGAAAGTTAATGGTACACCATCACATATAGCCTGTTGGCCTGCAGCCTTCGAACGCGATGTGATTGAAGTTGCCATTGAAGAACGTGATTTCTTAAAGTTTTACCATAAAACTGAATTTTTGCAGAATAAAAAATGATAATAGCAAAGAATATTGAAATAATCATACAGCACATGTTTCATCCAATAGTTTTACACTGTGCCGTGAAATGCGCCATGTCATGTCGTACAACATTCTATTATATCTAAAATGAATTGTGATACACAATATAAAGAAAAAAGCGCATAAAAAAGGCGTTAATTATCTTTCCATCTAATTATTTAATTCTGTTAATTCTACAGAATTAGAAAGGATAAAAGAAATTTAAGTTGTAGTACTCTAATATTTTTTATCGGTTTTAAATCTAAAATTCTAGAGATTTCTTATATAAATTATGGAAAGTACCGGTAATACTATATGAATTCAAAATTGATAAGTTAACAATAATTCGGTCCTTCGTAATAACTGACTAAAAAAAAAAGTAGAAGTGGACCGTGGACCATACTTATAAAAATAATTTTGTTTTAGATTAATATGATAATTAAAGATAAAAGAACAAATGAAGAATAAATAGAATAAAATTTACTGTATTCTATAAAATGCATATCCAGCTATTATTAGAGATGTAATAAGAGGTATTGCACCGCTAATAATGAAATATATTGTATAGTCACAAAGAGCACCATCGTATCCACAAGTTGGGAAATCTGGTGGCATCACGCCACTCGGTGATGGCCAGTAATTAACTAGTAATTCATGTGGAACCTGTAATCCATCCGAACATATCCGAGCTTCAATTGAGAATCATGATGAGAATTATATAATTATATACTTATTCTTATTCGTAATAACTAATAATAAATAATAAATTATATAGGCTCACATGTAGCGAACAATGCTCATCCTTCAATTGACACGATCTTGAGTCACCAAGTTTAGCTTCGAATTCTACAACATTTTGCAATTCTCCATTTTTTATTAGAAAAGTTGTGTAACTTGGAACTCTTTCAGCTTTATGGTTAATTAACACTTGTCCTGTCATACCTTAAGAGTAACACTGGCACTATAATTGAATTGAATAACATAGAAAAATAATAAAGCCAACCGTTGAACCGACATTGCAGTTGACATAATGCTGTTGTTTACTAACAAGTCCTTTTGCCTAATTAGATCATTAAAAGATTAAAAAGATCATTAAAAACTATGAGTATACGACTCTCAATATGGATCCGATCGACAATTGTTGTATTTTAGAAGAGAACAAAAAATGGCACGAGATGAAAGGGCGTAAGATATGAAAAATGACAGCCTTTTTAAGAGAAACATATCTACTTTCAAACTATTGGTTTTCGAAAAAATTTTTGAGCGATACCAATGAATTGCTTTCCTGTCATTTTATTCCAAATTAAGGCCCCATCTTTATAAACATCTTCATCCTTAGCAATATCGTAAGCATCTCGAACAGCAAGTGCGTACAAATATAACGAGTCATATAATGACATATATACTAGAGTTGAAAACTATAAAAAAGTATGTAAAAAATGAAATCTTAAAAGAGTAAATTCAGTTCGATTATTCACTTATTGATTTGAGAGGGGATAAATTCTTGTTTTTATCCTCTAGCGAGAAAATCTCAGCCTAGTAGTGAGTTCAAATTCAAACCGGAAATGGTGAAATGATTAGAAGAAAAAAAAATTTAGGCGGAAAATTCTGTGAGAAAAACGGTTTTTTCAATAATTTAAAATATTTTTATTCTCTAATATTCTTCGCATATTTTACTACACTATCAAAGTTGTGTGGTAAAATCACTTACAAATTCACTTGTAATGCCAGTTTCACGTGAAAATTTGGTTTGGAAATTTTTCACATATTTTCTATTATATCCATTGGCTGTTATGATAAATGTATTATCATAAGCCTCCTTTAATTCATGTCCGTTCGATTTTTTAACAATTTCCCATGGATAAAATTCATTTTTCTACAATCATAATAGTGATCACAAATGATTAAATGAAAATGAAAAAATTTTAACATATAAAAAATAATTCTTGGTGAAAAAGAAGATAACGTTAAAATTTAATCCCAGATCCCCAAAAAAAATTCAGGCAAAAAGAATTTTATGCAAAATGCTTCACAAAATTCCAGAGATGCCAAAAATATCAATCAATTAATCAATTGAGCAAAATGCTCTCGTATAATCCAACTATTGGAAAGCCTGTTCAACAAGTATCAAAATTGTATAATAAAAATTTTATGCAAAAAATAGTTACATGTTGTAACCATGGTAAAATAAATACAAAATCATTTCCTCTCATTTTTTGCTTATGAATTGCCAAAATAAAATTTACTGATGCTGATATATCCAAGCCGAGTTCCACTACGAAAACTACAAACGGTAAATTTAAGCATAGATGACTGGCATATCAAATATTTCTTTAATAGCTTTTTGATGTTTAGTGTGCTTAATCGCTTTCGTAAATTGAGAAAAAAATTTACTGTGAAATTACAAATGGGAAAAAATAATTAAAACTTGTTGAAAATTAATAAAATCAGTTTAAGTAAAACTTTAGCAAAAAAAACTTCTTGCAGCGCTTTGAATACTATTAAATGTTTTGCTGCTAATTAATTCATCAACTGTCGCATCTGAGTCGATAATGATTTCCTCATTGATGGTAAGACCATGCTTCGTAAATGAACGAAGGCCATGAATGGAAAGTTTCTCAAAGTCTGCGACAGGTCGGACAATCGCTATCTTTAAATATCAATTTCTTAATAACTTATAGATTAAAATGTTACATAACTTAGTTAGCTTTCTTAATGAAGTGATAAAATTTTTTAAATAATTCAGTGATACCTCCAATTTTTCATTGTTCATCGTTATTTTTCACATTTAACGCATATGAAAAGATATGTGTACATATATATATTCACCTAATCTATTTCTAAACTCCTCCTGAATGAACCAACTCAGCCTTTTTCATCTAATATAACGTAATTAATGACCTATTATGTGAAAACAAGGCATCCAGAAGCAAACCTTTTTCCAGCCATAGAAATGGAGAAGAGAAAAGGTGGCTCGTGCCATTTCATGTGCCGAAGTTAACGCGACAGATCCGAGAGTAGAGAAAATTGAATGGTTTGATAAGTAATCGGCACCAGATAGATGCGCAATTATTGGTGTATTCCACCGTGAAGCTAATTGACCGACAACCGTCATTTCTAAGTTAAAATCCCAGTTGACCATAATATATCATCAAAAAAGAAAAAAAAAATTTTGTTCTGAATGAAAAAGAATAAAATAACTAAAAATCAATTAAAAAGAAAATGACAAATGTACAGTACCTTCGATACAACCAGGTCCCAAAAATAAGGAAGCATTGTATAAAAAGTGCAAATAGGCCGCATTTTCAACACCACAAAATTTGATACACGATACTTTCGTTATGATCCTAATAATTAAACTATTATAAGTAAGTATTATTTCAGTTTAACAATATCATAATAATTTAACTTGATGCATGAAAGTAATTTTTTTCCCATAGATCTGGCAGATGTTTTTTATGCCTTTTATCATTTTCCTTTTTTTACGGTTTTTATCTTTCTTTCTATACCAAAATATGAAAAGAATTTTAATATAGTTTTTATAGTTAATTTAATCGTTTTGCGGTAAATTTATGAAAATCACTTTTATTGCTTGGTTATCAGTATTATTGTTTCAAAGGATAATCCTAAATAGCTCACTAGTGAAGTCATGGCTGAGATTGCTTTTTTTTTTTTAATTTTCTAAATAAACTTCTTTCAAAATAACAATTCTTTCTGAAAGTTCTTTCTGAAAAAAAGTAACAAAGTAATTGGCTTACTCAAAAGATATATTTTTCGGAAGGATCTGCCTTTTTTCCAAGTCTTTAACGCAAAGTTTAAGAACTTCGGGTTCATGCTGCACTTGTAATTTTTGAGGGAGCAAATGTCCGACTTTTATTACGACTCCATTCGTTGCATTCAACAAAATACAAATTATAATTTGGAAAATTACTAGTGGAATCATTTGAAAGTTGGATATAAATTGATCTAAAATAATTTCGATTTATCGATATGGAAAAAGTGATTAAAGCTCTCAAGCTATCTTTCCGCGAAGAAAGCATGAAAATGGCAAATCGAAGAGATGCCCAAAAATTTGAAATATTTTTCAACGTATTTTGTTGACCAATCACATGTAAGTAAGAATTGTAAGTTGTCAGAAACGATGAAATGAATGGTAAGTAACTTTGCAATTAAGCAAATAAGTAACCGGTGCTCACCATTTTTATCCAGGCATTCTACTAGCTCCGCTGGCTGTTAATACTATTAGAAATTTAGAGAGTCATCTGGCGATAGAAAATACAGGTGGGCCGTCACTCTCTCTGACATAATACCTGTTAAATCTGGTGTTCCCCAAGGTGTTTATATTGCGCCATTGCTTTTTCGATTATATATAAATGATATCACCAATGTGGTACTAAATTCTACTATTTATCTTTATGCTGATAATAGTAAAATTTATTATTCTAATGGTGGAGCGGGTAACCTATCTTCACTGCAAGTGAATTTCAACAGAATAGCCAACTATATGACTGGCAAATTATCCTTTCCTTTCAAAAATGTAGCGTTCTTCATATCAATTCTAAAGGTTTCGGTTTTCCCAATCTTTTTATTAATGGCAATATAATCAGTAGAGTCTCACAAATTTCTGATCTTGGAATAATCATGGATGAAAATTTTGATTTCGACCTTCATTGCAGAACCATGGTAAAGAAATCCTCAAATACTAAATTTTATTTTTCGTTCGCTTAAGAATAAACTGAAGATTTTCTTCTCAAAATGTACAAAACGTTCGTTCGGCCACTTCTTGACTACAATAATACATGTTACTCCCCGAGATATTGTAAATCAAGTAAAGTAAATAAAGGACTCCAAAAATATTTTATACGATCTCAACCGAGTTTGATTATAAAAGGTACAATCTTCAACAATACAACCTGGATTCCCTCTCAATTCGTCGAATTATGCAAGATTTAATTCATACTTATAAGATTCTGTATAGCTATGTTAAACTAAAAAATATTATAATGTTCAAAATGTTATAATTTTAGGTTAATTAAATCCAAGAACTAATGGGCTAAAATTACTAAAACCTATGTGTAAAACTAAACTAAGGACTCATAATTCTTTATTCGTAATATTAATTACTGGAATAAATTGCTGAAATATAGCTCGTGCGCCATCCCTAGCTATCTTTAAACAAAGAATAGGTAATATCATTCATGATATTATTTAAAAAGTCCACATTATGCAGGAAGTATGAAATCTCGATTTTTACCATCCGATTATGGTTATTTCGAATTGTACTATGTTATATTATTTTGTAATTTCCTCTTTATTTTATCTTTAAATTTTTAATTTTATTTATGTCATTTATTCTTATTATTTTTAATTTTAACTGTTGTTATTAAGCACATGACGTTTGCTCCCTGTTTGGTTGGTTTTCAGTAAATAAATAAATCAATTAACTTTTTTATTAGCAGCACCTTTCACACCTTTCACATGATGATTTGGACCATTACCTACTTATGATCATGACATTTTTGAAAAAAGACATTAGAAATTTTTCCTTTTATCATATAGAATTGTCTTTAATGTTAAGTGAAATATATATACAATATCAAAATCAGATCAAAAAGAATTAATTCATTTTAGTATTTTCGAAATATCTTTAGAGTTTCATAACTGGTTAAGCTTTGAATTTAATGTATAAAGCAGTAAATCAATTTTAGAATTTTTTAAACGAATAATTTTTTAAAAAAAAATGAAAAAATTTTTTCCCTTTATGATTTCGCCGTTACTTCGTAATTATCAAAATAACGAAATTATGCCTTTCCACAAATATACAGATTTCTATATAGTAATTTCATTATAATTATAACAATTGCAAAATTGTCATTGGTTGTCTGGTTAGGAAGAATAGATCTATTGTTAAATCCAAATCTGGGTAGCTGCTGGAACGAGATAGCAGAATGCGTCCTAATCAAGCTGTATGTGATTGTGCTGACTAGATATTTACGCTAAGAAGTGTGCTGGAACATAGCTTCGAATACCAGCAGCCCACCGTCACTTGCTTTATGGATTTTGCAGCTGCCTTCGATTCGCTTAATAGAGCAGCGCTCCGCAACATGGCGTAACGGTGTCCTAGAGAAGATCATTCAGCTCATAAAGGCTTTTAATTAGCATACCTTGTCACAGGTCTGCATACCCTGTATATGGAGAACTGACAGACTTCTTTGAAATAAAAACTGGTGTCCGTCAGGGCTGCTTCCTTCCCTCCACAGTATTCAACTATACTATAGACTGGATAATGGGCATCGCTTGTCGGCACTAAAGAGGTGCGCAAATCAGTCCAGAGCATAGCATCACAGTCCTTGAGTACGCTGATGATGTAGTTCATTTTGTTAATAGTTTAAATGAAATGCATTGAATGTGTCAGCAAGAATTGGACTCAAAATCAAAATAAAACGAAAATGTTTTCGTCTTAAATAAAAGATGCTATTTTTTATCAATTCAGTACCAGTTCATGAAGCTCTTCACTTTAAATGCCTTGGATCCACTCTAATCTCAAATGGCTAGGCAAAGGATGAAATTGCAACCCGGATTTCGACAGAAATATGTTTTTCGGTTGATGAAAACTTTATGGAACCGTCGCGAAACCACCATAAAGACGAAAATCCGCGTCCATATAGCCGCAATTCGCTTGATTTTGCTATATGGCCGCAAAACATGGCAAGTGAGAATTGAAGATATTAAGAAGCCATTAGCCTTTGACCACTCATGTCTAATCATGCATTTTACTGATCCGTCCGTCAAACCGATAAAATCGCACATGATTATATTCATCTTCGTTCAATTACCACTTGCATTAATAATGTTATCACAGAGCATCGCATTCGCTAGTTAGAGCAGCACATTCTCCATCGTTCACCACAGGAGTTGATGCATAATATTATTACTTGCTAAACCATGTGATGGATGGCGTCAAAAGCGAGATGGACCAATCAACACCTAAACTGATACGGTCAGAAAAGATCTTAAATGTATATAAGGGTACCATCGATATGTGGATTTGGGCGATGGAAAAAGGAATGGCTTCTATCACTACTAGTTATGGCCGGATCGAGGAGCTTGAAGATGTCTTACTTTTGTAGCCAGCGGAGCCAGCCTAACCAGTAATAGTTAGAAGATGAAAAAGAGAAGTAATATATCGCATTCGTTCATTTCCAAGTAGTCTTATAATTAACCGGTCAATCTTATTATGCGTAATTATAATTATCCAAATTGGGTGCAAAAAAATTCAGGTTTTTCTCTTATTAGGTACAGAATCTACACAAAAAGACAAAAAAATCACTATAATCAATAATCACTATCATTGAAGCAATGTACTCGGTAAAAACAACTGTATTAAGATGTTTTTTAAGACATCAATCGTCTTCTGTGCAGTTATTTTATAAAAAAATAATTCAGTATTTCAATAAATCTGTTGTTCCTCTTAAATAATTAAATCTATTCCGAGTAACCTTCCTTTTAATAAGCGTTAGGCAAGGAATTTTAATAATTTTTTTATCTCGATTTTTTATGTTTACTGCATATGCGTATAATGGAAATGTCGATCGATGAAACTTTATTTTAATTTACGTGTTCTTTATAGTCAATTTTCCATAAATATTTTTCCGGATGTGCCTAACTTATCCACTTATATATGAAGTATAATAATTAGATTTTTGAACTCCAAAAGTGCTCAAAGAAATGGAAAACAAAAAAAAGTAACATTTTCTTTCAAATAACATTTTCTTCGGTTATTGGATGAAGCGCTGATAGTGAATATCTTACTTATATTTAACGGAAAAAGCTATTGCAGAAGAAGTTACACCATACCTGGGAAGATATATACGCATTCAACATTCAACATAATCTTTTAAAGCAATTTATTGGCGTATAAAGTAGTCATGCTGAATTCGTATCCCTTTTGGTAATAAAATGATCAAAAAGTTGAGACGATAATTTGCCCAGACAAGCTCGCTTAATTTCGCATAGTAAAAAATCTATAAAAATATACCGAGTTTGATATACAGGTATCAGCGTATCTTAAATCTACTACTATTCTCTCCGTTCCTCAAACAAAAAATTCCTTTGTTTCTTTGCTACTGATGAAATAAAATCAAGTATAGCAATGCAATCGTTGGTTCTACGATTCAATAATTTAGACAAATATGCTTTTTCTAACCTTTTTTTGTTTCATATTTAAAATAAATTAATATATTAAACAAATTACTAAAGTCATGCTTTAGATAATTTTTACCAAAACGGAAAAAAGGGAAAGGGCTCAAAACCCTTAAATAAAACATAGGATACCAAAATCAAATTAAACTTTTAGTACCAGTATTAGGCGGCGACAAAATTATAAAATGTTGATAAAATATTTCTGAAATCAGTACAAAATTTCTCTGAGATATTATATGACGAAGCATAGGATTAATTTCTGGAATACAACTAACTTTTTTTAATGGAAAACTAACTTTTTAAAGAGATTTAATGGAGTTTTTTAGATATGTTATTGCATTTATCCATTAATTGCGATTTTTTACTCCTCTTAAATATTTTTATGACATCATCAAGAATTTCTCTAATTTTATTTCGATTTAGTCATTTGCAAATGGAAATATGAATCGCTATTTTTTGTTTCTAAGCTTTTTTTGAGGATTTTCTTTCGGATTGATATGAATGAACTCGAAAAAGTAAGGGGAATGTTGATTACAGCTGAAAAACAAGAACTAGTGATGGTGAAATGGATGTTTAAAGAAATTTTTATTCAATTTTCCAGTTTCATTTTATTTCATTAGGTTTTGGATTGCTTATTTCATAATATTTAACATGAAACTGATAGCGATTCATAGGAAAATTATAAATGGCCTTCTTTGTTTTATAAGTTCCAGTATCATATATAGATTAATTGTCATCTTTGTCAAAGAAAATGCTTTCAGATATATAATTGCCATAGATGAAAATATATTTCTAAAAATGATCTGAAATTTCGAGATATAAAGAAATCTGACAGTCCAAATGTTTATTTAACAAATTACAAGTTTAAATTAATTATTATAAAAAAATTCATACTGCTATGCAATTGGTGTCACCGAATTATGATAAAGTATTTATGTTAAAACTGTATGAAATTGGCTTAGATTTGGCGAATTCGTCGCATAATAAATCAATGATTATTTAAAACACTTAAAAATAAATTCAATGAAATTTACCTCAATTCCTCTTTTTTCGCCAGCTAATTCTATTATGAACTCACTCACTTGAAATGACTCACTTATATTATATAGTTATTCATATCTATAACTTGGAAGATTTTCGAAGAAATTAACCAAAAAACAATACATTGGAAAAAAAAAAGAAAAATGGGCTTGCGATTAAATGAAATTTCGACTAATACAAAATTACAGATGAAATTTGAAGTTCTTTCGCTTTAGTTTATTCATTATATAATTTTTAATTGTCCCTTTAACGAATCAAAAGCAGAAAATATCGAATTTGATTCTAATTTGCATGGGAATTGATTTCGATATCATAAATATTAATTATTCTTTCCCTTCCAAAAAATAAGTTGTACATTCGCCTTTTCCCTAAAAAAACTTTATAAATTTTCTACAGTTTTTTCGGGTTATACATAGAAAAAATGTAAAATACAAATAACCTTTATTTCGACTTTTCCTCTTTCAACAATCTTAAACTTTGGATAAAAACAGTTCAATAAATTATATGATTGTTCGCTAATCTGAAACAGTATTATAGCAGTTGAAGCCTATTTTGATACTTATTCTCTACTCACATAATAATTGGTCAGATTTTCTTTGTGGAAATAAACGCGCAAAGATGTCATTATTCGAGCCCTTTCGCATCTAAACAGTTACTTTTAATGGCATTTATTCCAGTTAAACTTTACTTAATATCTTCTGCTCTCACTGATTATATTTCGCAGCCGTACCGAAGGATAACGATGGGGTAATTACAAAAACAGGCCATTTCAAATTTTGAGGCTGATTTCTCGATTCTTGAATGTAATAAAGCATTGCGGCAATCAGGTTGTCTATCAAAATAAAAATTATTGTAATTTCACTTTTTTTTATGGCTTACTTGAATTTGATTCGGAATGCCTGTGCTTTCCATACGTGATGCTGTATTTACTGTATCACCAAAGAGGCAATATCTTGGAGCAGCTGTTCCTATAACACCCGCTGCAACTGCTCCACTATGGAATCCAATTCGAACCATGAGTTTTTCATCTGGTTTATGGGCCAGTTTAAAATTGCTTACAAACTATAAAACATTTTTTATACCAATTTTATAAGTAGAATTACTTAAATTTTTTTAAATGATAGATTATAGAATATCTTCTCCTTTAAATTGTCAATCGCCTTTATTTTATCTCGAATATTTTTTTAAAAAATTTTATCCGTTCCAGCGAGATAATCCATGAACATACACTAGTTTCGGAGTGTAAAATTTTTCAATCGCGTCAAATATTTGAAAATTTTTTACAATTTTATGAAAATCTGTGGATATTTTAATAGTAAATTCATGAAACAAACATCTCGCATCTTAAGTGCAATATCAGCAATATTCTCCACATGTGTATTGCCATTCTCTATGGGAACTCCGGAAACTATCATGTATGCATCACCGATTGTTTCCACCTTAAACATATCTTTCAACATTATAATTTTTGCTAACAGACGTTGGCAGTTATTGTTTTTCTTGGTACGCTATGATATTTTTTCAAAGAGCCGTGGCCATTACTAGCCATTACCACTGAACCATTCTATCTCCAATACTATGGATAGTCTTGCATAGTTCCTATAATATCCTTTAGCAATTGAAAACCTTATAAGCATCATGGTCAGCAATAATTGCGTCAAATCCTGAGAAAAGGCTATTGAGAAAATCGACAATTTGAAGTGGTGTCGAAGTAGCTGAAATCATCGTAAATCCACGAATATCGGAAAATAAGACAGTCGCACTTGGATACAGCTGTGGTGGTATGTATTTTCCCATTTTTAGATCATCAGCAATCTTTCTAAAATTCCAACCTCACTTTTTAATGAAGAAAATAAGGTAATTGATAAAAGCTAAAAAAAAATTTTTCTTTATGCCATTTTTCTTACTTTGGCAGCATGTTATATAATAGTTTATCAGCTTGTCGTTGTGCTTCTTCTAATAAAGCTGTTCTATCTTGCACAATTCCTTCCAAATTTGCTGCATACTGAAAAGTATTGAAAATTTAAAGACTTTTCTATCATTCTGATTCAAACGAATGAAAAACGAATAATTAGAAAGATAAGTGAACCTCCTCCATCATTTTGACCATTTGATCAACAAGTGATCCTTTGACCCTAAATCAAATACTTAAAGCATTTTTGCAAAATGGTTTTTTTTTGCTGAAATAAAATATATAAAATATATACAAATATCTTATTGCACGTTATTATGTTATTTTTATTTGAATATTTTTGTTAAATATATTTGGCTTACGTTGATTTTAGGTTTGAATTGACGATTGCCTTCATCTTCTTCATATTTGGTCTCATTTCTGGCAATTCGAGCCAACACGCCTTAAATTATATATCATAATTATATAAATCATATATAACAGTTTATCATTCATTCACCGACCGACATTTTCTTGCGGTATTTTCGTTTACCTCATTTTTCAGCTCAATCTATCGTTTAAACTATAAATATAAAATTTTGAACAGACCTCTATACCACTAATTAACTGTAGATTATAGTTCTCTTCTGATGGCCTATTCGGGAACGTTGGTCGAACACATTGATCTTGATCATCATCATTAAACATTGCAATTTTTTGTAGCAATTCTGTAATCTATTGTATTTTGCAATAATTCTTTTCTATCAATTAAAAAAACTTTATAAAAATGGCATACATAGTAAATATTTTAATAAATATTCATCTATGAAAAATAAAATTGATTTAAAGATATTTACTGCTTGTTTATGAAGTTTGTGATTAAGGTAATTATAAATTTAATGAAATCGAAATTTTTCATTTGACTCACAAAATTTTCAAATTTTTGATGGATTGTTTGTATAGGAAAAAAATTGATTAAATTTCTTTACTTTCACTTGACTGCTCATAAAATGGCTCAAGTCCAAACAAAATTTGATATAACACCATTCCAAGCGCATACATATCAGCAGCTTGAGTCGGCTTTGGTAAGTTTTTAGTTGCCAGTATGACTCGAATGACTTCTGGAGCTTGCTGCACGTATCCTAAATTTGTTCTAATTAATTACCATTAGTTTACCAAATTTAATTTTTAATTTTTCATAATCACTATTAACCAAGTTGCTCCAAGGTTTAAAAAATTGACGTATAACAAAAATAAAAAGTGGTTAATATACCAAATATACCATCTCTCATGGCTTTTAGAATTTCAGAAACGCGGATGAGAACCTAACAATATTTCTATTATTTTCAGGCCTCATGCTAATAGTCAAATCAATGATGGTGTAAATAGAAGAAGAAAAAAAACTAATAAATATTGCATACGAAGTTCGAAAAAAAAAGGAAAAAACTTTCTAAAAAAATGGTTCATAAAATTCCATTCATAAAAAATGTTTAAACAGTGATATGAACAGAAATTTATTTTTAACCTTTTATTATTCTCTTACTTTTATGCAATTCGTTTTCATTATTTTGGTCATCTTCGACTGCCTTTATCTCATTCGCAAATAGTTTCTCATGAATCATGGTATATAAGCCGTAATTTGTCAATTTTATATTCCAGTTCGAGTCAACGAGGCAATTTTGTAAACAAAAAAAGCCATGGCATTCTATTATGGAAGAATGCAGAAATGACATTCCCTAAAAAAATTTTAGGAAAGGAATTCAAAGACATTTGTGCGTAATTTCTTCCCTTTCAAAATATTTCATGACATTACATTGATTTCCATGTATTTTTTCAGAACGATGATTCTCTGACAATTGCTAACTTTATTAGGAGTAAACCGAAGGAGGCATTTCATCTAAACTCGAATTTTATAAAAGATTAATTGAAGATCGAAACCAAAACCGTGATGAAATGGCGTAAAATAAGTATTATTATTTTGGCACCTCTACTGTTGTAGATCACTAATAGTAGAGTTATTACGTTGACTTGTCTGCCTTGTCTGCTTGGATGATCTTCATTTTCCCTCCAAATTTCCCAAGAATTCTTTGAAAATCGTTGTAACTAACCAAGAAAAATTGCCAACTGAAGGTCTTCCATGAGAAATCTATCTACCAAAAAACTATCAAGCAATATTTCTAATAACTTATCTCGAGACCATAAATTTGATATTTAAAACATGGATAAATAAGCTTATATATATTCGTGACGACATTTTTTAGAAAGGTGATTTCGGTAATGGGTTATTTCATAGTAAATAAATAGATTCCAATAATGGTGAATATATTATGAAAATTTTATTAATGTATGATATATGATAATTGTTAGAAATATGCCATGGATAAGCCTTTGTTAATACTTAATATGTGATAATCCGCGTAATACTGGCGACTCGCCTATATTTCTATCGCCAAGGGGCTCCCTGGCATATTGCTCAATGTGACAAGCCAGTGGAGCGAGTTTAACCAGTAATGGTGAGGACTTTAAAAATTTATATATGATAATCATTAGAAATATGCCATGGATAAGCCTTTGTTAGCTTTTTTAATCGAAGATCAAATATGGGACAAAACTTTTATCTATTTATTATCTACATGTTTTACCGATTATTTTTTATTATCTTCTGGTATTTTTTTTCTTGCCAAATAATAATAATTTGCTTCAACTAATGAATGGAAATTATTGATTGTGTCGCAAATTATCCAAAGAATGATCTAGTAAACAAGTTTTTCATAATCTATACCATCTTAAATCAAATATCTTCAGTTCAAAGCGCAAAAACTGTTTTCTTGATTGATATCCTTGGCCATTCACGACGTTTGTTTTCATTAATATTATATACTGCTATATTATTTTATAATGTTATTTTAATATGCATATTTTAGAAAGCATATGAAGTAACTGCGTCTTGCGCTACAATTCTGTTTCCAGTTTAATTCAAATCCCAATCTTGCATAAGATTATTACCTTGATAACATCTTTCGCGAAGGATATTTGGAAATTTCTTTCCAATTTCAAATCACCATTGAATAGAACATCCTAAATTGGCGACAATATTATTCGTTAATACAATGACTATTGAAAACTTTTCCTTTATCAAATTTTTCCTTTCTAGCATTTTATTTTATAATGATATGAAACATGAAATACCCTAATAAATAAATTTTTAATATTGTTGAATATTTGTATTTCTAAGAAAGGAATTCTTGAAATATGCTGACTTCGAGAGTTCCTCGAGGTAAATGTGTCCACAGTATAAGAAATTCGTTTTGTTGGTTAAAACAAATACCGTAGAATTTATTTAGATTTTCATTATCGATCGCCTTTAGCTGAAACGGTGGAACGATATGTTAGAATAAAATTGAAGTAATAATATGGTAAAGAGAAATTCATAATCTCATTAATTTCCTCGCCGCCAACAATATTTATATGATAAGGCTTTACTGCTGAACAGCAAAAGTTTTAAATTTTTCATAGATTAAGTGAAAATTGATGAAGGAGGGAGTGGAACTGGATGCTCGTGTGGCTTCCATTGAATCATAGTAGGTTGTAATTAATTAATTAATAAGGAATAAAATAAAATCTGTGCACATCCAATTGATTTTCTGGCAAAAAAGCCTTATGTAGCACTCATGCAGCCAAACAGAAACACGAATTCTTGTAGAAAACGAAGGGCAAATAAAGTTTTTGGCGCAAAAAGCTTTGAGATGGAGAAAAAACCTATTGCTTTAATAGTTCTTTAGATAATAAAATCTATATATGACTTATATAATCTATCTACAGACCTCTTTCAAAAGACGTAAATATTGTTTAGAAAATGATATATTTTTTAATTGAAGGTATTTTATAACATTTAGTTGTACACCTCCACATACGGCATTTTCAGTTTTTCCAGACGAACAAATTGAAGTTCTCACCGAAACACGCGATTTCTAAAACACCATTCCATCGAATTAAAATTTTTGAAAAAAGTCTAAAGTTTTTTGAAAAATAGAGGAAAAATTAGCAAAAATTTTACAGTGCATGTATCATCATTCATTTGCACAGTATTTCTAGGAATACGCCATATCATATCATATATCATTCGATTATATCTAAAATTGAATTAAAAAATCAAAAAAATCGCAAGTGAATTTTCTTCTAAGCAAAACTTCTGATTAAATTTCTGGAAATATCGATGCTTCATATTGATGCATTTTTACCCTAATCGAAGCTCAGATAAAAATTGTTCAAAAGACTATTTTCTAAAGATTACTAAATTAAAATTAAGAATTACTTTCTCTATGCTTTAAGCCATTTATTAAACCAGAGAAGCTATTGCAAAATTACGAGATGAGCTGTTTCTATTATGAGATGTGCCGGTTATTTAAGAAAGAAAAATGAATTCTTTCACAAATTCACCAATTAAACTAGCACCATCGGCACGCCTAGACGCCTTTATTTGATAAAAGTACAAGTTACCAGCATACCCAGGATTTTTATAAACATGCCCACACAACAGCAAGGACCCAACCCTCGTTTTTTGTGCTGATTGCTGATCATCTAAGATTTCAAAATTTATAAAATTACAATAGAATTCAAACACAACAAGAGTGTATGATCTTTGAGATAAATTCAGGAGATAATGCAGAAGCACTTCTTTCATTTAGAAATAATCAAAATTTCTAAATGTGAAAGGTTTGTAATGTGAAAATTTTTGAGAAACGTTTATTGAAAGTGCAAATTAGATGGGATAATTGAATTTTGAACAAATGAAACATACTGTATTTTATAAAGTCCATATCCACTTGTTACTAGCAAAATGGTGAGGATTGTTAGACCGGCAATAATAAAGTACATCGTAGGATCACAAAGAGATCCATCATATCCACAAGACGGGAAATCTGTTGGCATCATCCCATTCGGTAATGGCCAATAATTAAACATTACCTCATGTGGTATCTGCAATTTTGAATTTATGAATTTTTTACATTGTATATGCGTTGAAAAGATGAATTTTTTTCATTTTTGCTACAAGAATTACAATAACTTCTCATAAATATAACCAAACTGTCAGCTTACTTGTAGAGTACAGTCTCTCTTCACTTTACATTTGCTTTGCTCACTAAGTTTTGGTTCGAATTCAATAACACTTTGTAATGTACCATTTACTACTCGGGAAACTGTATAGCTCGGAATTCTTTCAGCTTGGTTATTAGTTAGTACTTTTCCCGTCGTCCCTGTTAAATAACATTGATTATATTTCTGTATCAGAATTTTTATGTAATTTTGGCTTCTCTTGTGAATAAAGCTTGTTACGGCTTCTATTTGACTAGTTATAAAGAGGAATAAAACTTAGTTTCATTGTACAGCGTATATCCACCACTTTGATTTATTGCAATATCATTAAAAATATATATCGAAGAAGCCTTTTCTATCCATGATGAAATCTGTGGTATGTTGTCTAATCTTTTAAAGTCATTCAATCTTTTCTTTTTAGTAATTAGCCAAATAAAATGTGAAATAAGATATTAATGAACCAGGCGATTATGATAAATTCAGAAAATAAATGAATTATTTCATCATAATTTCATATGGAAGGTACTATTTGCAATTGGTTATTTTACTCTTTCAAACGTCCAACATTAATACCTATAAATTGTTTTCGTGCCATTTTGCTCCAGATGAAAGCTCCATCCTCATGAATACCGGCATTTCCAGTAATATCATAAGCATCACGTACAGCAAGACCATACAAATATAATGCATCGTATAGTCCCATATAAACCAATGTTGAATACTAAAGATCATTTAAAAAACCGGAATATTGTAAAAACCTAGAGCTAATTAAATGTTATTATTATTAAATGTTATTAGAGCTAATGTTATCAACTTTTAAAGAAATACATTGGTATCCAGGAAATCACTTACAAAATTATCTATAATGCCAGTTTCTTGAGAAAATTTCTTCTGGAAATTTTTAACAAAGTTCCTATTGTATCCATTAGGTGTTATGAGAAGTGTATCAGCATAAGCATTCTTTATTTCTTCCTTGTTGGAATTTGCGGTCTCCCATGGATAATAATCATTTGTCTAAAACTTTAACATAGTTAATATTCTTTTTAAAAAAAATTTTTTTTTCCAAATCATTTTCGATTTTCTCGAAAATTTTCTTTCTGACTTTTTTTTGAATATTTCAAAATCCGAAAACCCAATTTTATTATATGGAAAAGTTGAAATTGCCTTTGCACTCATAAATATATTTATAAAAGTGAAAAAACATGGATTTTTTTTAGTCATGGAATTTTTTGATCAGATCCCGACAATTTTTATATTAAAATAAAACTTTCCTTTATTGTAACACTTGCAAAAAAATACTGGAAGTAGTATTAAGAAACGACATTCATATAATAGCAATTACATGTAGTAACCAAGGTAAAATAAAGACGTATTCGTTTGTTCTTATTTTTTTTCGCTGAATTGCCAGCATAAAATTCTGTGTGGCGGATATATCCATACCGAGCTCCACAACAAAAACTTCAAAATCATAAAATGAGAAACAATTCACGTATGGTTTATTAATTACTGTTCAGCTTGTTTGAATTAAATTTTTTTTCGCTTTAAAAATTTATGAATTATTAAATTCACAGCAGGCAATAAATTACAGATAATGGCCAAAATTCTACCAGTCAGTTGAGGAAGCCAAATTAAAAGTGGCGCACAGTTTTGGAGAAATTATAGATGGAGCAATTTTTTTCCTTTATTAAAAATTTTGCATTTTTAATTATGCAAATATATCGAGAAATTTTAGTTTATTAGTAAAAAATGTGGTAAATTGCAGGAGATGTATTGGTTATGTTTTTGGTTAAGCAAAGTTTGTTGAAAAATGTACATTTAAAAAAAAAAAAGAAACAACTTCTTGAAATGGTTGGAATCTTTCTGAATTGTTTGCTGACTATTATATCGTCAACACTCGCTTGTGGATTGATGATGATTTCATCGTTGATAGTAAGCCCGTATTTGGTAAATGCAAGGAGTCCATGAGTAGAAAGCTTTTCAGAATCAGTGATTGGCTTGATAATCGCTATCTTTAAATATTTTACGTTATATGAAGATCTCCGATTAAAAATTCAATAGAATTATAAAATTATAAATGTATTTTTTCAAATAGAAGGATGAGATAGCTGAGAAAGCAAGAAGCAAGCAGCTTCTGTTGAGCGTGAAGCAGCATAGTTCACTTTCCAACTGCTTGGGAGTAAGCCTGCTAAAACTGGGTAGCTCTATTCTCAAATTCTGTGGCGAAGGGACCTAATAGTTAATAAAATCATAAATTGGATATGCTGTTAGAAAAAATCTCTAGCTAAGATGCAAAAAAACTAAAGCATGTGAAATAAAATAAAGCAAAATTGCAGTCCGATTAATATTTAAAAAATGAAAACTATGAAAAATGAAAATATTAGATTCGCAAGTAGAGCTGGATAAATGAGCAAAAAAAAATAATAAATTGATGTGTGGACCCTTTGCCAGCCATACAACTGAAGAAGTGCATAAATAGCTCGAGCCATTTCATGTGCCGCAGTTAATGTGACAGATCCGAGAGTACTAAAAATTGAATGGTCCGATAGATAATCAGCACCAGATAAGTGTGCAATAATTGTCGCATTCCACTGTGAAACTAATTGGCCAATAACAGTCATCTCTAAACAAAACTTGTTTATTATTAATTTTGTTATTATTATTAATTTTGTTATATTATTGTTTGTTATTGTTTGTTATTAGATTATTATAATTTATTATCGTTCGTGATTTTACGAAAATAAATTTAAAAACTAAAGAATGTATAGAAAGTGTGAGCTGTAAGTATGCTGCAATTCTGAAAGCGGAAAGAAACATTTGTGGTACTTTGCTGAGGTTTTTTTACATTGCAGTACCTTCAATACAACCAGGTCCCAAAAATAACGAAGCATTGTGCATTATATGCAAATATGCAGCATTTTCAACCCCACAGTATTTATAGCACGATGGCTTTGTTATAATTCTGCAATTAATTTATTTCAAGTATAGTCGAAAGCAAAATTGTGATTGAACATATTTTTTGAAGACTATTACTACTCTGCTTACTATTTCTGCTCATTCCACTAGTTTTTCGTATGTCTGATGAATTTTGCAAGAAGTTATTTGGTTGTAGAAATACAAGTGGTGCCACTTAGAGTTTGATAAGATTAGTTTTCAGGAATAAAACCGCAGTATCGAAGGTGCGGAATGGGAGAGACTTAGTTAAGCATTCTATCCTCTATAATTTGAGAATTTAAATATGGAGAAATAAAAAAATTATACGAATTTCAGCTATAATTCGAAATTTGAGATAACGCAATTCGATCTCACATTTCAGTGTTGTTGAGCGATTTTGACTGATCAGTAGAATAATCAGTAGAATTTTTTATTTCCCTACTTCCAAATTGATGCTAGATGAAGATTTTTACTGCTTTTAAATATGTAGAAATGAAAAAACTTACTGAAAAGATATGTTGTGTGGAAGAATATGCCTTTCTTTCAAGTCTTTTGCACAAAGTTGAAGAACTTCAGGTTCGTGCATCACAGATTGTTTTTGGGGCAATAGATGTCCGATCTTTATTACGACTTCATTTGTGATTATTTCGCATACCAAATTTTCAATAATCAGTAAAGAAAAAAATAGTGAACTTATTTGAAAAGAACAGGCCTGCATTTTTAATTATCCTAGAAAAACAAAAATTTATCATGTCATATTTTGCCATATTTTAAGTTTTTTCAAATTGACAAAAAAGAAGCCTATTAACTGTGAACTGCAATGAATTTTTGCCTTGTAAAAAATCATTGTAGTGCTCTGGAAGTAACTAATTTGACCATTGATAATATATGAATTCCAAATATTGGCAAATTAAATTCATTCCAAAATAATGATATTAAGTTTGAAAAACATTAATTATCAGTGATTCTCGGATTTCAAGTTTCTTACTCACTCTCTATACTTTTTATCTTGGAAAAATATTGTATTGCTGGATCTCGAATTTCGAATCACATGCTTTATAAATACTTGAATTTCAGCGAATCATAGCTTTTCATATGCTTGTGTGATATAAAAGAATCAAATCATTATCATAATTTTTATCATATCAGTTTTTCTTAAATTTTGTATCCTGAATTTTCTTAATTTTCTTAATTTTCTAAATTTTGATGCTTCTGAATTTTATCAAGTTTCTGGTCGATTCAAAAACGAATTTGAATAGAATTAACATTTTTTAATACATAAATATTTGGAATTAAACTCTAAAATGTGAAAACCCATTGTTGAAATATACATGTGGTGGTATACATGTGCTTCTCTAGCACTGACTGTATTCCGCTCCTAATGACAAGATTTACTCCCATAGAATGATGAAGTTCATAGTAGGATTAATATGAGCTTTGCAGCTGGAACATTTTTTATTAGCTTAATGTGTGAAAGCTTAACTATACCAAATTAAATATTTTCTTCAGCACTCATTTACTTGGTTATTCATTTTTATCCCATTTTTGTCTAGTATGCAGATTAGCAAAGGTTGCTTGAAAGCACGCAGTCTAATGCTATTAGTTTCGTAATTGCTTCATTTTCTCTTATTCACCATACCTAGTTGCTGCATTCAGGCTTTCATAATGACAGATATTGTAAAATATTTCGAAGCATGCATTTGTAAAATTTCGGAGATAATAACCAGAAAAAAACCTTTTAGTTGAATCAGAACACTTCTAGCGATAACCATACACTTGGGCATTATCTATATTTTTATGGCAATATTAGAGAATTATCAAAGGAGAAACTTATCAATGAAGCAGAAAGCAGATCATATTAAAATAAATCTATAAATTATAAGATACCTTTAAATACAGAAAAAATTGCAAGAAAAAATCAAGGAATTTTGCAAACTGAATGAAACATTACATAACTAAAGAATATAAATATACAAACACAATCCTATAGGAATCAACCATGAAATATCTATAAAATTATGATAAACGTGATGTAAGCACGCGAATTTAGCGTGTTAAAAGTTAGTGTTTTGATCAGAAAGCATTAAAAACAACTAAATTATCTTCTAATTTAATGTTTAAATTCATGAAACTCATATTCATTAATTTCAGATTATTTAATGCTTTTGATACCATACTCTCCATATGACTTTAATAATTTTGTTTCCAACTTTATTATTTGTGAAACTTAAAGTTTCGCCTCTTATTAATGAAGGACGTGATTGAAAATTCCTCAGTAAACAAATAAGCAGAATTAAAAGCAGAAAATGAAAATATGGTGATCATTAAAATAAATAATTAATATAGTAATTTAAATGCCAATAACTTTAAATATACCAGAAATGATATAAGAATTTTTTTTCATTGTGATATAATAATATATAAATCCAGTTTCATAGGTTCAGTACCTATTTATCAGTACCAGTACTTATAGCAATAAGCCTGGCATTAGAAAAAATTTAGTAACTTTTTTTAAAATTCCTTAACTTTTTCGGCATAAAAAGCCAATCCTTCCACCAAAATGGTTACAAGCAAAAACAACAACAATTTATAGATTTTTTATCTATTTTCATTTATTTCATTTTTCATTTCAGTAATACGAAATGGTCGAAATTCCGGTGTAGATTGTCTTGAATATTCGATTTTTAATATTTCAATTTACAATATTTAAATGGACTGAAATAGTGACTTGGGATATTGGATCCAATAATTATTCTGTAATGATAAATTTATTAATTAAATGAGCGATTTATGTTATTGTGAAAGATGTTTGATCATTTTTAAAGTCATTTTTTTGGATGAATAATGAGAAGCATAGAAAATGCACGATAGAGCAAAATTTCATTTATAACATTTACATTTCACATGAAGTGAAGAAAAATGGTTATAAAATCTGTGGGTGTAGTAACCAGTTTTGCATATTTTAAACTCCACGATTCTCTTTTCTCTGGAATGGTGTAAAAATCGGGAGTGGTTCTAGGCATAATTTTTAAATAATCCCATGTGAAACAATTTGGACTAAATCAAAATTAATTAACGATTTAACGATTCTGCATTTCAACAATCAAATTAGCACCACTTTTTTGATAGCATTTTTAATATTCCAAAATAGTTTGTCAAAAAATCATTGTAGGTTTGGCTTGAAAGAAATGAAGAAATAGGATGGTCGAACAGTTTATAGCACATTAAAACCAAGAAATATCATAAGAGTTTATTAAATCTTCAACATTATCAGAGTTGTCATGTTCAATTCAGCTATTATCATTTTTATTCTAACAATGCTCACTATTTTTGGTTTAGGTAGAAATGGCCTCAAATGGCCTTGCTTGAAGTGGATGAATCTGTCATTAAATGTTATTGTTGCTGCAGATTCAATTGACTCCCAATTAAATCCCTTGGAAAGGGTCTCGCTCTCCTTTATCCTAGTAGTCAGTAGTCAGTGAAGCATCAGTGAAGTTAAAGAAGAAATGGTGAAGTGCTATTGAAGGAAGTATAGCCAATATAATGTAGGCATAAGGTTTATAATATAGTCAAATTTACTGAAGAAATTTTAAAATTTTATGTTTACTCCCATATAACATAAATATTAAAAGCAAATTAGGCAAAAGTAAAAGTGCAATTATCAAAGATTTCTTTTATTTTAAAGAATTGAATAAGTTATGATTAAATTTTAATTTTTTTTCTAAGCTTTAATAAATAAATTTAAAAAATAATTTATTTATATGTAAAATGTTGAAAAAAATTGCAGGTTTAGCCAAAACTTAACTTAAATTCCATTAGTAAAAAATATTGATAAAGGTCGAAAATAAATTAAGGTGTTTTTCGTCAAAAATTTATTTTTTTCTTTCTTCGTTATAATCTCTTGGGTCTCTCGGAGTTACTAATTAATTAACCAAAATCACGTTTAATAAAATCTTCAACTGCCTGACATTTTCGTAAAAGAAAACACCCACGATTTGTGATTTAGCTAGAATTCGTCGAAAGATTTCATTTTCTTGGAATTCATCACCAGTTTACTTTTCCAATTGGATAAGTACGAAAGAATCGGGCGGAGCGGTTTCTGTTACTAGCCATTTTACTGGTTTTTAATTATCTATTATTCGCTAAAAAAATTTTCAAATCTCTTTATTTCCACAAAATCTGTGTTTGTATAAGCTTTTCATCGAACTATTTTCATTATTTTCTTTGTATTCTTCTTCTGGTGACCTTAACGAAAAGTTTTCTCAAATTCTTTCATTCTGCTAGGTCGAAACGAATAATAGATAATTGCTCAAATCTAACAGCTGCTGCGTATATCTACTAACATTTTCTATTAGCGTTCATATATAAAGCACTGAGAAACACATCGAGCCTATCATTCGTAAAACAGCCGTTGGTTGTTGTTGCAGTTCGAATAAATTTAGGCGTTGTTTCTTTTAAACATAAGTAATTATGTGTGACGAAGAAGTTGCAGCTCTTGTTGTAGATAATGGATCAGGAATGTGCAAGGTTTCATTTTATCACCATATTCCAAAAATATTTTGGTTTAATTATACGCTTTTCATCCGTCTTAAATTTTTTTCATTCATATAGAAATACAAATGAAAACGCTTAAGAATTGGATAATTGAGATTAGACTAGTTAAGCTGTTCTAAATTTGAGCCAACTATTTATTTCTAGCTGTGGCTATAAATAAAAGCATTTAATGAGAAAGCCTAAATTCCAAATATTGTGGCAGCCTAAAATATTCCAAATCTTCAATTTAAGTTTTAATTTTATTATCGAGTCTAAATTTAAATTGTTAGGTGCCTTACTTATGATTTTACAAATTGTGATATAATGGTAAATTTATTTTCGGTAGAATTCGTGATCAAACATTATATATAAAAAAATTAATCTGTTCATCTATATCATTTTTTCTATCAATGCTATCAATATTTTTTGCTCAAATTTTGAGTTTTTTTCATGTTTAATGTTATTGAAAATCGTTTTCTTTAGAAATATATTGGATTGAGTTTTTCAATTAAATTAATTCAATTTAGATAATTTTAAATTTAACTCAAAGCATAAAATTCTTGACCTTGTTCTCTTTTTTTCGATCCGCTTTTTTTAAATGGCAAAAATCTTGCAAAATTTTAGAAATTATCATTACTTTAGATTTGTTCTACAACTTTATTTTCTCAGAATAAAGAAAATAGTTTTCTATTTCCGAGTTGTAATGTAAGCAAAATTGAGAGAGGGAGAGATAGGGTACTTATGTTGTAATAAAATTTTGAGGCAGAAAAGAACTTGAGTGGGTGTATGAAGGAGATTCTAGGAATTAGAAAATATGTTCTCAGCTGCTCCTTTAATTTACGAAAATGACCCATCACTACGTCATCATTAGAAATTCGTACATTCATGCAAATCTACAAGTTAGCATATATCCTTTGGTAAAACAGATAAATTTAAAAAATCATATTGAAAGTTGAAAAACTTTATGGAATAACTTTCTTGCTCAAATTTCCTCTTACTCCATAATAATTACTGGCTTATCTTAGGCAAGTAATTAATTAAATTAATAAATTAATCAAATAATCAATTTCTTAATAAATTTCTTTGCATGATTGATTGAATATTTATAGTTACCATATTTTAAACTATTTTATAAATTATGCTGGAATAATTATATCTTAGGCCGGTTTTGCCGGTGATGATGCTCCTCGAGCCGTATTTCCATCAATCGTTGGAAGACCCCGCCACCAAGGTGTTATGGTTGGTATGGGTCAGAAAGATTCGTATGTTGGTGATGAAGCTCAATCGAAAAGAGGTTTATTTTTTTTTGATAATCTGGAAATATCCATTTTCTTTAACATAGAAAATTTGTTCGAAGAAATTTATTTATCATTTAGATCAAAAAATCGAGCAAAAATATTTTAATACAATTTAATTCAAATATTTTAATTCAATTTTAATTTTGTCTCTATCTGAAATTTTAGGTATTCTTACCTTGAAATATCCAATTGAGCATGGTATCGTCACGAACTGGGATGATATGGAGAAAATCTGGCATCATACATTTTATAATGAGCTTCGAGTTGCCCCCGAAGAGCACCCAGTTCTACTTACTGAGGCTCCACTGAACCCTAAAGCTAACAGAGAAAAAATGACTCAAATAATGTTTGAAACCTTCAACACCCCGGCAATGTATGTTGCAATTCAAGCAGTCCTTTCACTGTACGCATCTGGTCGTACGACTGGTATTGTGCTTGATTCAGGCGATGGAGTTACTCACACAGTACCTATTTATGAAGGTTATGCTCTTCCACATGCTATCCTTCGTCTTGACTTGGCAGGTCGTGATCTTACGGATTACCTAATGAAAATTCTCACTGAACGTGGTTATTCATTCACAACCACAGCTGAACGTGAAATTGTACGTGATATCAAAGAGAAACTTTGTTATGTCGCTCTTGATTTTGAGCAGGAAATGGCAACCGCAGCATCATCGTCATCACTCGAAAAGTCATATGAACTCCCAGATGGCCAAGTTATCACTGTTGGTAACGAACGATTCCGTTGCCCAGAAGCTCTCTTCCAGGTATTATTTTTCAGAATTCACCAAACGATTATTATGTGAAAATATTTCGAATATTTTTGTTAAAATTACCAAATTTTAGCCTTCCTTCTTGGGTATGGAATCTGCTGGTGTTCATGAAACTTCATACAATAGCATTATGAAATGCGATATTGATATCCGTAAAGATCTTTATGCCAATACTGTGCTTTCTGGCGGTAGTACAATGTACCCAGGTATTGCTGATCGTATGCAGAAAGAAATTACAGCTCTTGCTCCAAGGTTATCCGAAATTGTATTTTGAAATAGAATCCATCGAATTTTTCACTTAATTCATTACAATTTTTATGTTTTTATAATTCTTGCTTTGTGTAAGGAACTGCATGAAAGATATTACTATATCTCAGTTCAATCTCAGTTCTAGATGGATTATTACAGCACTATGAAAATCAAGATCATTGCACCACCAGAGCGCAAATATTCAGTTTGGATTGGTGGCTCTATTCTTGCATCATTATCCACCTTCCAACAAATGTGGATTTCAAAACAGGTGAAAATTTCTATTTTTACCAAAATATTTTTAATTTTTCCTGGATCTCCATGTAGATGAATTAGTTAAAACTGTAAGAAATTTGTTTTTTGCTCTTTAATATTTTTGCTTGTGATAATTGTAAAAGATAGTTAATAGTTGACTAAAATTACATCGCAGCACCATTTAACGAATTTTTTTTGGTCTTAATGATGCATTTTTGTAGGAATATGACGAATCTGGACCATCTATCGTTCATCGCAAATGCTTTTAAATTTGTCTCGGATGAAGTACTGGCTGCCTTTATGATCATTCATATGCAATTGGATTTAAGAACGCTGTCCCGACTGAAATTTTTAATATTATACTCGATTATCTTTCCATGTTGCAATCCGCATAGAATGATATTAAGATTATTAGTTTTCAAAGTATTTTGAAAAACTTTATCGATTTTGATACCATTAAAATTCGTTCATAAAAAAAAAGACACATACGAAAGCTCTGCTAATAATTTAAAAAACGGTTTTTTAAATTTGCGGTATTAACCTTGAAATCCATTGAACCGAATTATTCACTAAAATTGAGGGTAAGTTACATAATTTCATCGTTTAAATCCACTCTAATTAGCAAGAAAGAAATAAAAATCGGAAGGAAAGAAAAAATCAGAAGATTATAAAAGTTTGTGATTCTGATCAGTATCCATTGCGTCTATATCTTAAATTTCAAGGAATTGGATGTGTCAATTTTGCACCTTAATGATTAATTTGGTAGGACTTAAAAATTTCAGAATTGCTGGTAAAGCAAAGAGTTCTAATTCTGACTCGTGAATATTGAAACTAAACGTTTGTGGCCTTCCTGCATTTCTGAAGAAAATATTTCACTGAGGCATTAATTTTTAATTTTAAATCATTTTTTTGAATCAGCCCAATAACGTTCTTAAAATTTAATTTAGACCTGATCAAGCAATTGGAAAGAAAGTAAATCATTTGCCATCCTGTTCGCTTCTCTTTTAATTAAATAATTAAATATTCCCTTCGAATGTACGAAAATAAGATGAGATGATCTTAGAAGGTCACATAAGAATCATGCATATGGATTTCTAGCACCAGTCGTTTTCTTAAAAGAGAAAACCTTGGCGCAGTCAAAAAGTTAAAGACTGAAGCAAGATGTTCAAAGTGGCAATCCAAGAAAGAACGGCTCTGCTAAACTTGGAAGGAAAATTTTTATTCTAGAAAATAAGAAAGATATTCAGTTATTTGAAATATTTTTTAAAGGCAAAAAAACAAAATTTTCTAATGGAAATTTCTTGGGACTAAAAACAAGCAGCATATTTAATTTTTTTGGATAAATATTATTGAAAAACTTAATTTTTTAATATAATTTTTTTAATTTAATTCATTTTTAATGAAAAATTATTAAGGAATTTACTTTTTTTTAAAAGCTCTATTCATCAATTTGTATTCGCCGAAATCTTTAAAGATTTTCAATTATAAATCTTAGCTAATTTGAAGATTTTTTCTCAAAAATTTCCATAGTTGTTTCCATAATTTAGTTAAAAATTCTTCTAAATTCTAAATTTCTACACGAAAATTTGTTTATAATCATATTTTTGTAAAAACACTTCCGACCATTAGGCTGATGCTCATCATTGCCGATAAAAGTTCAAGATTTCCATAATTAAAATAGAAATAGAGATAAATATACAGATATACTTTCTATGGATAATGAATCAACAACTGGAAGATCAAATCAAAAAATGAGTAACATTAATGGTGGCAAACCAAAAATATTTTTTGCCATCTATTTATAACAGTTGTGTTGTACAACCCACTTTAAAGATTTTTACTGGTCGCATGAATTTTGCCTTTAATATTCCTTTAAATTTCAATTTTATTCTTGAACTCTTCAACTTTCCTTTCAAATTTCAATTTTTCAAATTTTTCTCGCTCTTAATTTTTTTAAATTTTCGTAGTTTCGACTTTTAACTTTAAATTATTATTTTGATATTTGGTATATTGCTCCTTTATTTAGAGAAAGATATTTAGATCATTTATATGAGAGTTCCTGATTCTAATCATCATTAATTGAATTGTTTTTTCGATAATATTTAATATTTAATAAAATTTTGAATTAACTTAGTCATGAAACCTTTGCTTTTGTTGATTAGACTATTTGTTGATGGGACCATGTGTCGAGAAATGCTATGTTTTTTCTAACATATTATTCCAAACTGGTGACTCTCACTCGCCAAAAGAACACTTTCATTAACTTAATTCTTTGCATATTCTATTTTCATATGTCAATAAATTGTTAAGATGAATTTACAGAAACTGTATATTTTTCTCAGGAAAATTTTTTTTCCTTTCATCTTTTCTTATTGTGGAGCCATCAAGGGACCCAAGCGGTTGGGTCCCGATATTTTACATTTTTCATTTTTGTATTTAATATTCATTATATTATTTATTCATTTTTTGTTTTGAGATAGTCTTTGGATTTAATTTGCATCGAATATTGTTTTTTCTTATTAGTATATTATTGAGGTTCAATTACAAAAGTTTGAGGATTCGATCAATATTTCTACTACTTTCTTGATGAAACAACAAGATCAAGGATTTTCGAAAATAATGACGCGCGGCAGGCGAGCATCATTCCGCTGTATTCATTTATTAATCCTATTTTATTTACTACATCTTGCATCCAAAGCCAGCAATTAGCTCTTTCCCTAAGGAGACTTGATTTTGGCGAGTTAAGACAAGATAGGTTTTTTTGATTCAACGGCTGATGAAAAGAGGTTTAGCTGGAGATGAAAGCAGGAAACAGTTTCTTATCTTTAATAATTGAGGCCATAGTTATGATTCAGAGAAAATGGCTGGTAATATTTCACAAAAATGAAAAAATATATTCGTCTATCAATATCTGACCAAAGCACTTGATATCTTTCCCACAGTAAGTTCCTGATTCTAATTATCATTAATAAATATGGCTTGAACTTGTATAACTGAATGCCAGATTACTTAAAAGGCAAGTGCCAAGCTAATACGTTCACAATGAATCTTTTCAGACATGTCTGCAATTAAATCAGGCGACCTTCAAGGTGATTGTGCCATTAGTTGTGCCATTATATACTAATGATATCAGCAAAGATTTTTTAAATTCTATCATTTGCTAATGTTTATAAAATTTTCTATTCTCATGATAGATCGGATAACTTTTTTTGTCAGAAAACTGATCTCGATAGAACTGCTAATTGCTTAAACAAAAGGCAAACTCTTTATGTACAAAAATGGCGTATAAATAGGATATTGCATATAAATTCGGAAGGAGCCGATCTTCTTTTTCTTTTTGTTAATGACAAAATAATCAATCGTATATCCAGTATCTTAGTACAGTTGTGGATTAAAATCTTGATTTCAACATTCACTGTGAAACCATAGTGGCAAACTATACTGTATACTCAAGAAATTATTTTATCTAAAAAATTTTATTTCTTAGTCATTTAAAAGTAGAACAAAAAATTTCTTATCAAATTATACAGTGCATTTTTTTGAAATAACCTCTTATTCTCTTACATACTGCAAATCCAGTAAATTGATTGAAATATTTCAGAAATACTTTGCACATCGCCTCTTTTCTAATGGCAATCTCAATTATTAAGCGAAATAAATCTAGACTCCCTATTACCAGAATTAAGCAAAATTTTATTTTTCGCTTTAAAAATTTTCGAGTGATCTCAACTCTCAAATAAATTCACTTTATTTCCCATTATTTTTTTTCCTTAATTATTCATCCTTGATTTTATTTCTGGCATGAATAAACCTGTCATGATCAAAAATCTTAGTGGTTGTTGCAATACTCACCTCTAATTCCCCAAGTGACTATACGGATCGGGTCTTTTGGATTATCAAAGCTTAAGAATTTAATTAATTGTGTGTGCTTTGTACGGCGAAGTATCCAGCGTGAAACCTAAGATTGCTTATGGACGTTGGAAAACAAGCGATCATTCACATACTTTCTAAATGTCGCCTGGTCGTCAGAGGTCTGTCTTCCTCATTTCTGTTATAGAGTAGCTAATCTACAATATCTTTGAGGCGTTTCTGATAATTCAGCATAGTATCATATCTGGAAAAGTCGGTACTCTTTGCTTCAGTGGAAGCCAGTAAACGACCATATCACCTATGCAAAGGAAAATTCTGCAATACTTCGACCATCAGTATTCCAACTTTATATGCAAATGATTACCATTATCAATTTTATGTGGATTTCCAACTATTAAAAACTCTACCGAAAGGATTTAGTCGTGATCGGGAGAGACTGGAATGCGCAGATCATGATGTCGCCACGATGAATTCAGTAATCGGCATATTTGGTATCAGAATCCTGTTCGCCAATGGAAAACGCTTTCTTCGCTTTGACGAACAGCATGAACTTTAAATTTTTACATGCTTCAGACATCAGACATTCAGAAGATATCTAGTCACGTAGAATTCCGCAGATAATCAACACACCAACTAGACTGATTATATCTTAGCCAGTCGCCACTGGAAGTTCCGTACTAGATAGTTGTTCTTGTCGGAGTACTGAAACTGGTAATCTTCATGAATTAGACCCAAACCATAGTTCAATCTTTTCATTTTGCACCTCAGTGCCATCCAATGCAAGCACGTCGCCTTAGATGGTTGTTTTTAAATAAATATTTACAGGAAAATAATAACGGGAATGTTTTTTAAATTTCATTGCTGGCTTTCGATTGTAACATTAATAAATTATATCAAGTCGTAATTGCTAACACGTTCCAATCATGCGAGGAATGGCTTTAATTAAGAAAACAAAAGAATGGAATATAAATAAATTCAAAGAATCTAAAGTGCTTCGGTTTTCCTTAGCTGAATTAAAAGTTATCCATAAAATAAATAACGATAAATGCAACAGATCTTAAAAATTCTTATAAATTCGCCTATTATAAATGATCAGATGAAAAATGTCACTTACAAATTTTAAAAATAATTTTCATTGGTTTCAGCAAAAAACCAATAGAAAAAAAAGATGCTTAAGTAAGAAGAAAAATTCGAAATTAATTGAAAGTTATAAATTCATCACTATCTTTTTCATGAAATGTACTCATATGTACTATTATCTCCAAGTGGCTCTCATTCTTGATAACCTTCTTCTTCTAAGAGCTCATCACTGATTAGGCTTACTCCGCTCGTTACTAAGGTAAAATCTCTCCAAGCTGTTCGGTACGATGCCATAACTAGTAGTGATAGAAGCCATTCC